CTTGCTACGGGCGGGCAAGCAGGCAACAGTTGGGAGAGAGACGAGCTCTGTGGCTTAAGGTGCCGGGGTGTACATACAGCAGCACATGTTTGTAAGAGAGAAGCAAACGAAAGACAAAGTTGCCCCGTCTATCTCCCTCTGCCTTTCTCTCTCTCTCTCTCTTCTCTCTCTCTCTTCTCTCTCTCTCTCGTTCTTTCTTTTTCTCTCTTTATGTTTATATCCATTTATGTTTATATGTCTTTCTACTTGTATCTCTTCAGGTTTTTATGTGTATGTATCTGACCGTAAACTTGAGTTGGTGTGCGTTGTTCATCTCCTGAAAGACAAATTGAAGTTTTCGTCTTAAAAGATTTTCATTTGTATTTGCAAAGTCCTGCCGCGCCTCCGCTTCCGCTCTCTCCACCTCCAGCCCTGCACTCCGTCGGGTGTACAGACACCGCAGAATAAAACCTCTTCTATTTTAGCGCATTCCTGTATTGTTTTCTGATTGGGATCAGCATGGAGGGGGAAAGAGAAATAGACAGATAGATGGGCGGATAGATAGATAGATAGATAGATAGATAGATAGATAGATAGATAGATAGATAGATAGATAGAGACAGAGAGAGAGAGAGGGAGAAAGGGAGAGAGACAGAGAGACAGAGACAGAGACGAGACAGAGAGAGACAAAGATACAGACAGAGGGAGAGAGAGGGAGTGACAGAGAAAGAATGCGACGAAGGCAGCTGCTGCATTGTTAACAGCTCTATTGTTACTACGGCGTAAGCGTCTCTCTAGGGATATCTGCGGTGTACGTACAGCTGCACAACCGCAGCATCGTTGCTTTTGGGATTAACATGTACTTCTTAAATGCCCACAACAGGCAGGACGGAGCTGCATGTATGCATGCAGCAGCAAGGACGAACCTGGATTGAGATGCAGATAACTGTTAGTGTGCTCATGAAATATCCTTTTGCCTGGGGGCCTGCAACACTTTGCACAGCCACTTTCTACTTCAGGTGTGCAGACACCTCCCAGTTTGCTGCATGCACCATTTGCTCTTGCTTATTATTATCTTGCATGGTCAGTGAGGACTGCATCCTCAACAACCCAAACGGTGCGGTGTGTGTGCAGGTGCTGCTGTGTACGTACACCCCAACTTACGTCTCTAGAAAATAATTTACGCATTTCCGGTTTTCTCTGAGGTAAGAAATCAATAAACGACGAAACTCCACCTCAAACAAACAAACAAAAAATAAGGTAATAATAATAACCACAAATAAAAGCAGACGGTGTGGACACGAAACAGAAAACAAAATACATAAACACGTTGATGAAACGCAAACACAACGGCATGCATGTAATACCCGTGCATGCATGCATGCATGCATTCATATTTGCATGCAAAACCCCTGCATGCATGCAAAATAATTGCGTGCATGTAATACGAATGCACGCATGCAGTACAATTGCATGCACCCGCGCATGCATTCATAATGGGTTGTACCTGCAGCTTTCTTTTGGCTTCTCTTTGTTCCCTGTCGATATTTTCCAGGTTACGCAGACATTCTGCAACAAAACACGAGAGGGATATAATTGCCTGCAATATTTGGGGCTGTCTCGTGGACTAGTACTTCTTCTTTTCTGTTTTTCTCTGCGTTTTTCTTTTATTTCTTGTTTTATTTGTTTGCCGTGACTAAGCCAGAAAAGAAGAAACTCGCCTGTCTGTGCGCTGGTGAGACCGCGCAACTTCGATAGCGCAGAGGCACTGCCACAGAAATACAAAAACTGCAACTTAAATAAAAATTAAAACAAATACAAATTTTCACGCTTTCGTTTATGGAGTGGATTAATGCGTGGAGGGATTTGCAACTCAAGCAATGCAGGACCGATATATGTCTATATATATGTATATATATCTATATATACATATATAAATACAGTGTAAGCGGACTTAACATTGCATAGTATTGCTTAAATGTACAACTAGCAATTGTAGTGCTGGTGTGCACAACTTCTTTAAGAATACGAACAAAAGAAATTGAATAGAACGAAAATACCTCCGCGGCCTTGACGAAGAATGCACCGGGGCCCTACAATCAACAGCAGCAGCAAATGCAACGGCAGCAGCATGTTTGGCAGCAACGAAAGCAGCAAACGCATCGACAGGAGCAGCATTCATCATTGTTTGTGTTTCGCTTGGTTGGTTTTGCATTTTATGTCTTGCTCTTTTTCATGTTTTTCTCTCAGCCACAAGCAGAAAGTTGTAATTCTTTGTTCGCACCTTGACGAATCTGCGTAGATTGCATTCTTCATTTTGCAGTTCCCTGCATCAATTATAATAATTGTTCTAAAATACAAGAAAGTTGTTTGATAAAAAAAAAAGAAAATTAGTACGGGCTCGCTGTTCCTGCGTGCGCCTTGCTGGATGATCTCCTTCTTTTTGCTGCCTTCGGTTTTCTTTTTATTTATTTCATTTGAGGGTGAAAACTGAATTTGATTTTTTCCTGCATTTTCATGAAACAACCCGCGCAGGGGTGGTGTTTCGGTTAAAAAGCCAGCAGGTTGAACACTTTAATGCGTCCTACAAAGAGCGGAAATTGAATAAAACAAATTAGACGTTTGCGAATTAGCTTATTGATTTATTGGTGGGAGAAGTGAGGGAGAAATTTGTTCGATTTTTCGCTCAATATATCGAGATGAAACTTCCTGTGTGTTGCATGGCAGGAGGGGTTTGAATTTTCTTACCTTTCCTCCCCTTTTTTCCTTTGAATGTGCAAATTAAATAAATAAACAAATAAATAAATCTGAAACTTTTAATTTTAAAACTTCGGTTTTCGGGGAATATTTGCAGGTTTCCACCCCCCACCTCAGGTCACCGGCAACGCGGCGGTTGCAGCGGCATTCGCTGCGCACAGCCGTGTAAATTACGTCAGCTTGTGGCCTGAAAATTAAAAAGAAGAATTCTTCAATTGAATATTTTAAATAATTTATGGTCAAACTTCTGCAAACGAGGAAATCCGTTGCTTAATGGGCTCAATTACCTGCCAAGGTAGCCGCGGCCGACGCACACTCAGTGGGCATGCAGCTCTCCCCCACACCAAAGTTGAAGTTCTGATGAATAAATATACATATTGTGAAAAAACCACTCTTTATTTAACTAAAATTCAAAATTTGTTTTAGACAGGTTTAAATGTTCCTTAATTTTATGCATGTAGCAGCTTGCACCAACGCCGGTCCTCAGACACCCAGCGGCATTCGGTGTGCAGCTCTTCTCCATTGTACAAGTACTGACACGTGTAAATTTGGACATAAAAAACAAACAGAACAAATATCCTAGGAAGGACCACATAATTGCGAATAAAGAGAACGCCGCCTACACGAAACACCGCAAATTCTCTAAAAAGAATTATATATAACACCAATATATATAACACCAATATATAAATAATCGGTGACAGGCAACACGCAGTTTAAAGCCTCCCTCCCTATATCGCAGGCTTCATTGGGCTTGCATGCATGCAGTACAACAGTGTGTTTATGGTGTGATTTATTTGTTTTCTCTGTTCTGACTGAGGGTTTATTGATAGCGTTGTGTCCTTGAAGGGTTTATCTATCCCCAGCATAAGGAATGAATAAACAGAAGCAGGAGGCCAATGAGCCCCCTTTACGCCTACTGTAGAATAAAGCGTAAATACAAACGGAGATGAAAACAAACCACCTAAACTGAAACGAATACGAATTGACGAGCGACTGCACCCATAAGCCTTGACCTCGTAAACAATGGTATTAGCAGAGGCACCAGTAAAGAGCAAGAAACAAATAAACGGGATAATTGAAACAATGATATTGGCGCTGTGTGCGTTCTGGCACTGCAACTTCCACTCATTACACCTCTAGAGAATGTTGTTGATGAGCCCTGTTGCGATAACTACACTAGAAAGGATTAACGATAAATATAGGGAGTTATTACCAATAACATCTATACAAGAAGCGATATAAGCGATATACAGTATAATAAAGATAAAAAATAAAGGCTAATAATGACAGTCACAGTAATGATAGCGGAAAACAACAGTATTGGAATCACCAATTATAGCAATAATGAGAAGGACGATTAAAAAAAAGCAGCAAAAGTAGTAGCGAGAATAACAGTACCACACGGGATCTAAAAAACTATAATGCTGGTACAAACCCAGTAATGAGAGTGAGAGTTATAATCATTATAATACTGGTAATAGGGGGGATATAGCAAAAATAACAATAGAAGGGGTAATAAACGCAGCAATAATAGTACTACTAAGGGTAATAAAAAAGTAGTTGTAAGGGTAAGAGAAGCAACAACTGTGATAGTAACGATAATACCTGCATATATAATAGTAAGGGAGATAAAATCAATGGTCAGTGCAGTAAAAGAAAGAGAGGAAGAATGCAAAACAAAAGCAGTAGAAGCAGTTGTTAGTTCAAAAAAGTATTGATAATAATAACAAAAAGGAGCACCCAAATGGGAGAAGGACCTGCCGGTGTTTCCTCTGAATGCGCGATGATGAATTGTACATTTAACATTCTTCTTTTTAATGCATTAAATTGTTTATTTTATAATAATCAAAATGTCTATACTTAGTCCTAATCGTTTATGTGGCCTTAATTAAAAAAGACGCGAAAAGTTGTCAAGGCCGCAATCTTTCAAACAACTGATGAACGTTTCCGCTTGGATTGGTTCTGAAGCAAGAAAACAATAAAGAAGACAAAAAAGAGAATGAACAGAGAAAAAGCAAACCGGAGAAATATAAGAATACATAAAAAACAGAGGAGCAAGCAAATGAAAATGAAGAAGAGCAACACATCAGACAGACAGAGAAATGAATAAAGAGAAATCACGTAAATAAACCTAAAAAGAAGCGAAAGGAACAAAAAATATTGCAAGGAAAACCAGATAAACAGCCCTCTAATACCGACAAAAAACAGTACTGATGCAAATTCAGCAGGAAACAAGCACGACGAAAGAAAGCAGGAAAAATACAAAACTTCTGATACATATACAACTTCAGATATATATATATATATATATACATCTATATATGCATGAGCCCATATGTTCTGCCGCATTGGTTTGTGTTGATAGAATCAGTAATCCTATAGATCGGCACTACCAAGCATTTAACTTAAGCACCGCGAAAAGAAAAAGAGCACAAATAGCGACTATTAATGGAGGGCTGTTTGTCTTGAGGCCTTGCCTGGCTTGCACTTCTCTGCCGCCATCTCCGTCACCATGATGAGCTGTTTTATCGGAATTGTTTCTATCACCCCGGACTCGCACACCTGCGCCGCTCCAAACCGTAAACGCTTAACCCTAAGCCCTAGCCCAAAACCCTTAACCCTAAACCCTGAAGCATAAACCCGAAACCCTGAACCCTAAAGCTTGCACCCTGAAGCATAAGCTCTACGCCATAAAGCCCAAATCTTCAACCCTACAGCATAAACTGTAAACCCTGCGCTGTAAACCCTAAACCCTAGCTAGCCATGGAGGGTATCCTCTAGAGGCTGTTTTGTTAGGGTTTCGTTTTTGCGGTGTATGCCCACCCGCATAATTTCTTCTTCTGGAAAGAGATAGCGGTCCGCACTGTGTTCTCTTAATGCGGCGGCGATCTCTTCTGCGCCTTTTACAGGGGGGACGTCGAGACAAACGTTGAAGGCCTTGGCTATACCTGCTTCCTAAATAAACAGCAGCAACAAATTCTCGTGCTTGCCATTTTGAATATGCCCAGAAGAGGAGGGGGAAAGAAAGAAGAAAAAGAAAAGGAAAACAACAAGAAGAACAAGGGCAGGGAGAACGACAAGAACAGGAAAAACAATTACAAGAGCAGGAACGAGAACAACAAAAACAAAAAGAACAACAACGAGCAGGAGGATATTGAGATGAAAATCTGAAAAAGAAGAATTCGAGGCGAATATGAAAATCACAACAAGAAAAAGACGAACAAAAGCAAAAACAGCAAGAAAAGGGTGAACAAGAAGAACAAGAACAGCAACGAGAAGAGCAAAAGAAAGAACGTTCGAGACGAATATTGCACATTTTTTTCTTACCTTGATGAATTCTGCTTCAGAGGTGGTGCCGATGACTAACAACTTTGCTCCTTCTCTTGGCGGCTGTTTCTTCGCTAACACCAACAACGCCTGTAGAGCCGGATTGGAAAACCTAAACAAAACGCAGCAACGCAAGCAACCGCCTCATCAAGCAAACAGAAACAAGAACAACACCAGCAAGAACAAGCGAGAGAATAGGAACAACATCAGCACGATGTAGGGGCTTGTGGTTACCTGGGTCCGATGGGTGTGAAGTCTACGAGCCGTTCAAGATCATCAAGAAGGACGAGGGAAAGGTTGGATTTGTATGCATCTTGGAAAGTCTTTTGCAGTAGATTGACTCTGGCGTTTTCAGGGAGACCCACCCAGTTTTCTGCTGAGACAAGTTTCGTAAAGGGAAAAGATAAGAGCTTCGCAACTGAAGCAGCTAGGGCGGTCTTGCCGCTACCTGGTGCCCCCTGCAGAAGCACAGAGAGCACCTGGGTGTGGGTGCTATCTCGTGCTTGTGCGCCTAACGTCAAGCAGGTCTGCTGCAGGCGCATGCAGTCTTTGCTGAAGCAGATGATGCCGTTCTGCATGCAGCGAGAAAGGCTTTCTTCGTGCGAACCGAACGCAGGCTTAACCTCTTCAAGAGCAGCTTCAAAGTCTTGCATAGTGATGCGGATCGCAGAGGCGTCTGCTGCTCGCGACAAATCCTTCATGTCGACTGAGCGTTGAAAGGCAAAAGAAGCAGCAGAACGCACCAGCCCCTCTAACTCCGCCCCAGAAAAGTTTCGCGTTATCTCTGCCAGCACAGCCAAATCCACAGAAGGGTCGAGTCGCTGCGCCTGTTGCATCGCCTGCGTATGAATGGTGAGGATCTGCAGCCTCCCTTTCTCATCCGGCAAACCTATTTCTATTAGCACCTCGAACCGCCCTGGTCTCAGCAAGGCTTCATCTATTAGATCGAGTCTGTTCGTCATTCCAATCAACAAAATGTTGTTTAGGGCGTTCACGCCATCGATCTTGGAGAGCAGCTGATTCACTACCGAGTCTGTCACCCCCGCCCCCCCTGGGTTGGCTCCTCTTTGTTTGCAAATTGCGTCTAGTTCATCAAATATAATTATGTGAAGTCCAGAGTCAAGGCCTCGTTTCCTTTCTTCTTCTTCTGCTTCCTTGAATAATGCCCGCACATTCTCTTCCGACTGTCCCACGTACTTATTCAGGATTTCGGGGCCATTCACCACTTTGGGTTCTCTCGCTTTAAGTGCTTTTCCTATTTGCCGCGCTATCAACGTCTTCCCTGTGCCCGGAGGCCCGTACAGCAAAAGCCCCTTAACGTGCTTCAGCCCCAACTCCTCTACTAAATGCGGAGGGAACACACGGCTAGAGAATGCACGCCTAAAGATCTCCGCAAACTGCTTATCTAAACCCCCTATGCCCAACTTTTGGAAAGAGAAATCCGCAGAAACCAAAGGCGATGGCAGCACCTTCCGCGACTGTACGTACACCCGAGAATCAGACTCGCTCGAAAACAACAACTCCGTCTGATTGGTCAACTCCGCAAACGGACTCACGGGCACTGCAGACCCAACACAACGACCCCACCGCAGCAGCAACAAACAAACACAATGCACGCTGCATGCAGAGCGCCGACTCCTAAAAGCCAGCACATCGCCGCACAACGACAGAGCAGCGCAACTCAACTGCTACGCATACAGGTCTTCACGTCTTGCTACCAAGCCACCTTGAGAGACAACTAACTAGCCAGCTAGCTAGGCAGCTAACTAGCCAGCTAGCCACGCAACTGGAAAGGTAGTTAACTGGGCGGCTAGCTGCGTGCTTATCAGTAGTTTGCAGCTGCAACTGGGCTCTCCAACTAGCTGTAACCTGGCTTTGTGGACAGCTAGCTACCTAACTAGCTAGCTAGCTAGCTAACTAGCTACGCATTGGGATATGCTTGGGTAGGGTGGAAGCGGCAGACCTGCGCGTTTGTCGCCCGCTGGCTCTACCGGGACCATCTGCACCACACTGCAACGACAAAACCAAACAAAAGAAAAGAAAAAGGGGATGAAGGAGGTGTAATAGCAGAACAAAACAAAGTGAAAGACAAAGCGAAGCAGAGAGCGTAGGCGGGTGACTATGAGAAGCTAAAGCTGCTGCCTTAGATTTCAAGGAGGATACGCCACTAGAAATATATTTATTTTATCTATGGTAGAGAAGAGAAAATAAAAGATTGTCAATAGACACGAAAGAGGAAGAATGAAGATATTCAGTATAAGGCCCTACAGTTCTATAATATATTCTATCTCTTATCCCGTGTATTAGTTTAGTGTGCGTTTATATACCCCTAAGAAAGCTCCTGAAAATTTATCTCCTGTTCTAGCGTCTGTACCGTAAATTGGAATTGTTATTAAGACAAAAAGCATTGAAATATATAATAACTATAATATTCCTTTTAACAACAATGCTGTGACAGCGCACTGCAGTTGCCCTAGAAACAGCTGTACTGCATTTTCTTTGCCTCTGGATATTCTGCATTTGGTTCTGCTGCTGCATCGCAGCTAATCAAATTTTTCTTTTTGTTTAGTATAACCCCCTCTGTCTTCTGAGTACGGCTGCTGGTGTTCCTTCTATACTCAGCCACATAACAAAAATAACACTATTATGTTGTAATGGCACTGCATAAATAAATATATATATATATATATATATGCATATATAAATATATCTATATATATGTATATGTAAATCAGCAAGTCAATCAAGAGAATATTCTATATCTAATTCGTAAGTCCTCCCGCCTTGCGAACTACATATATATACATGTATAGCAGATGAACAGATAAATGCATTTAATTAGTTAGAAGACAAAATAAGTTAGTGAAGTGACTAAACTGATTTATTCATCCGCCAATCAGTTCACTAGTGTATTAATAAACAAAAAGTTGGACTAGAATATGCATCAATTAAATTAATTGAATAAACACAATAAACGAAACTCCTTAAACCAATTAAACTAATAAATTAAACAACTAACGTAATTGATTTAATTAACTAAATGAATTACGTTAGCTTCAATGTCTCCTTTCCATGGCGCCGGGCTACAGACTGCCCCACAGAGAAGTACTGCCCTGTGAAGGCCTCGCGGATGTCTGCCTCAAGGATTTCATCTTTAAGACAGATGCGCTCCACTGTAACGACAACAACAAACAAACAAACAAACAAACAAAGAAGAAAATAAAATACGAAATAAAACAAAGCAAATTAAAAATTGCAGAAAACAAAAACCACAAGGCAATACGCACCCAAGCAGAGAAACACCGCAACCCAAACCCAGGACACAAATGCACAAAACAGAGATGTACATTCTTGTTTGTAGTACTATCATATTAAAGGCCACACTAAAACTTATAGAATAATACTACAGATTTGCTGGCTATACACGCAAACACGTACAAAGTGAATACACCCTAAATAAGAACTGCTAAAGGCTACCGGCCCCTCTTGGTCCGCTCTCTTGGGGGGAGAAGCCACAAGAGAAAGAAAATTTAAAAAAGCGAGAGAAGCAAACAGCATTAAACAGAAAACATGCAACTTCCTAAAGAAACACCCTCTGCTGTCCAAAAGAAAAGAGAGAAAAAGAAGGGCAGAAGGAGGAAGAGAGACAGAGGCAGACAACACAAGCAGTAAGTAGGGTAAGAAACCCAGCTGAAGCAGAGGAACAACGCCCACGAGACACCACACAACAGCAGCAACAACAGCAGCAACATCAGCAGCAGCAACAACAACAGCAGCAGCAGAGCACTGCTTACTTGGCTTGACGTATGTTGAGACCTCCATTTGCATTAAACCCACAACGGGTTTCGGGTGTGGAAGAACCAACACTCGAAGATGTACCGCATCGCCTATCTGCAGTTTTGTGCTCTCGCGATGGCAAATGCTGAGGCCAATCTCTTCCTTTTGCACCATTGGCTCTGGCCTAAGGCAGCCCAAAGAAAAAGAATAAGAGAAATAAGATACCCCAATCGCATTAATTGATAATTAGTTACTAGTAACACAGATTGTGCAGGTCTCGCACACGCGAAAGTGTGTTTAGCGTACACCCCAACTCTACTCCAACTGCAAGCAGAAGGAAAAGGAAAGGAGCCTGCTTTAAAGAGCAACCAAGCATATAAAAAATTACAGATTGCTGCTTGACTCACATTACCCCCAATATGATGCTGCCCACATGGCAGTGCACAGGCCGAGGTGCCTGTACACCATGGTGCCGTCCCCCTCCGCTATGGAGAAGGAGTTCCGCATAGACTTCTGGGTGTACGTACGACTGCAGCAAATAATTCAAGAAGAAAATCAGTAGACAACACAACCATCGTTGACGGAGCAACCACAAACTTCTCGCGCATCTGCCGTGTAAGCAATGCCATCGACAGGCCAAGTAGAAAAATTTGGATTGCCATTCATCAAAGGTGTTAGTGTGAGGAGACGGTTATCTATGAACCAGATATATACAGAGATGTACAGATACCTGAAAGTGGGGGCGCACACTTGGACAGACGAAAGCACGGGCCAGTAGGCTTGTTTGCATACGCAGGTGCACAAGTATAAACACAGACTAGTAGATATTCATGTAGATATATGCGTGCATGAATGCACATCAGCATAAGAAAAACATTTACGGTCTCCCTCGTACCAGGTTGGTAAAGGCCAGGGCAGCTGCTGGGAGTTTAGTAGCCCTGAGTATGAGCGCCATTGTGAGTTGCGCGTTTATAACAAAACACCAACAGAATGTCTACGAAATGTTTTATTTGTAGTGGTAGTTTGCTGCGACGCTGCCGCAGTCAGAATCCCCTGATTTGAGCGGTCTCTGTACACCTCAGAGTTGGAAAGAGAGCAAAAAGTCGAGAAAGAAATATAAAGCAGTCATCACTTCACATTGTTCCTAGTGTTCCGTCTAAATGAATAAGCTGTTTTCTTCATCGGTGGCCGCTTTCCTGACGCGAGAGGCGAGTCGCGCGATGTGGACAAGAGGCAAAGCTGCGCCTATCTGCCAGGTCCCCAGAAATCAGATATAAGCGAATTTCAGTTAAAAGATAGAAATAACAATTAGTAAATACACAAACCAAGACGAACGGTAGCCAAACCGAGCTGTGTGTGCTTCGCTCTCCAGCCCCTGAGGCTCTGCATGCGCTGACGGTCTGGAGCAGTCGGCGGCTGCAACCCCAGGAATGAATTTATCGTCAGGGTGTTGAAATAATTCAATTTGTTATTTTGTTATTAAAATTAAGTTGAATTAGCTAGGATTTCCACTGCATGCAACTATGCAATCAACATCGGAGCTCCTCCCCGTTCAACAGGACCGCTAGCTGCATGCACGCCGCCGTCTTGCAGCCCCTAAAAGGCGGCGAAATATCCGCAAAGCAAAGTAAAAATATTAACTAAAATGTTTAAAGTTTGCCTTAATTTTCTGCAAAGTAAATTGGGGGCCATACTGTAATATGCCCATTCATATTCCCTACCAGTCGGCCGTCGTCGCTTTCAGCTAGAGAGCATCTGCTCAGAGACCGGCCCAAAGGTACTGCTAATAATAACACTTTTAAGTAATAAATGTTCATAACAATAGTGAACAGTTTTGCATCCTGATTCGGGCATAAGACGAGAGTGGAGAAGGCACGCTTGCTGCGTACTCTTCCCCTTCTGCCCGCCTCTCTTGCACGTATAGAAACGCATGCAACCCTGGCACAGCCTCTAATTTGGTTACTTAGACTGAAAAGCAGCAACGCATGCATGTAAGCATCGCTCTCACTCTTCTTCCACCAGTACTTCAACCTCACTGCCGCAGAGCAGGCAACCACGTCGAAGCCGTGCATACACTCCGGTTCCTTCTTCTCTTCTTGAGTTGATGTAAGATACTTCCAAGTCAAAGGGGAAGATGAGCCAAGAAGAGCAGCAGATAGCAGACGCCCCCCCCGGGCCTCGCACTGCCTCACTGATAAAGGCGGGTAATCCTTTGGCTGACAAATGGACGAAGCTGTTCGTTCTTATTGAAAAGCAAGAAGATGCCCAAGCAGAAGAAGTAAATCTGCATGAAGCACTAGCTTTCTATGCACTGCAGCAAAAGAAACAGAGCATATAATTTAGGAAATAACGACAAGAAGAGAAGACGCACCATATACAAACAAAGATGTTGTCTGCATGGAGAGGAGATTCTTAACATCAGTAGGTTGAAAGCTCTCTTTTGGGGTGTACTCTATTGTCTTTTGCGTCTTCTGTATGCAGCTGTTGAGACAGCTGGCCTCCGAAAGCGAAACTCTAGAGGTGGAGGTGCAGCCCTTCTCTTCCCTCCTCGCCCACGCCGCTTTCTACTGTCCCCGCATTCTGCAGCTTCTCCTTGACGAATTCCATTGTGACCCTAACCTCAGATCCACAGGTGCTTTATAGTTCAGGCTTTAGGGTTCACTGATTGGCCTTTAGGGCTTAGGGCTTACGGTTCACGGTTTGGGGTTTAGGGTTTAGGGTTTCCTGATAGGGGTCAGTGTCTAAGTAGGAAGAGTTGGATTTACAGGCCAGCGTCTACAATACTCCGATTATGAATAAACAATTTGGCGGTTGAGGGTTTATGACTGGGGTCTAAAGGCTTCCGCCCTATAAGAAGGAGGCATATGCTGCAGGCTATTGGGAGTGCGGCTGAAGGGTTGTATTCGTCTTGTGTCATATTTTTGCTTGTTTCTGCTTTTCTTTTCGCCTTTTCCCGATACCGTATGCTGAAGGGATGCCATTGAAGTCGCTGTTTTGCATGCGTTCCTTTGAGTTCCTTTTCTGCTTCTCTCAGAAGCAAAGGGGCAGACACCCCTGTTCAATGCCCGAGGCGAGGCCGCTACGCTGCTGTTGGCTGGGGGGGCGGATATAAGGGCACTTGACTATGAAGGCCAATCAGCTCTAACGTCCGCTGTTCTCTGCCACCACTATGAACAGGTAGGGGCTTGAAATGCCCCTTATAAGCACTTCATTAACCAAAGCTAAATTCAAAAAAAATTCCGACGTTTTTATTAATTGAAGCCGTTTCTCGCGAATGCATTTCGCTCGCGCGTACCTTCAAGAGCCGCCCTTGACTCGGGTGTATGTGCAGCTTCAGCAAAAGTCTTGCTGCTAGGCAGCTGCAGTTGTGTTGTGAGCAAGCTCTGTCTTCATCTTAAATGTTGTATATTTCTGCTGCTGTGTCGCACGACCTGTTGCTGGGAAGCTAGGGTTTAGGGTTAAGGGTTTAGGGTTAGGGGTTTAGGATTTGGGGTTTAGGATTTGGGGTTTAGGGACAAAGGCTCGCTGTGCCGTGGGGGGAACAGGCGGCGGGGTTGATGCTGGCCGGCGTAATGCCTTGGGAAGCAGTCAATAAGGAAGGCGAGAGCTGCATCCACTTAGCAGCAGCACAGCCTGTTGAGGAGGCAGGGGAGCAACAGATCTTGTGGGACGCGTTCTTCAGCGTCTGCTCCAAAACGGACGCAGCAGCATCAGCAGCAGCAAAGGAGCTCCTCTACAAGCAAAATGCAAAAGGACTTAACTGCATGCAGCTCGCGGATGCTGCTGGGAACACAACCCTTGAGCAGCAACTGCGTAGTTGGGCAGGAGGTAGGAAGGCACGACGAGTTTAATCACACAAACTTTGCCACGTTTAGCAGTAAATTACGAAACGTGTGCCACTAAAGCTTCAATTCAATCTGGGTAAGATGAACATTTAAAGAAGCCCAAAATACAAAATGCGACGGCAACAGTTTGCATCAGATGCCCCACAGCGATGCTTCTCTACCTACCGCGTCCTGAGTGGAGTCCTCAGGTGTAAGCGGTTGCCAGCACTACTCCTAATGAGTTAATTCTTTTTCTTTAGCCTGCCGGCGTTGCTGCAGCAGCGGAAGAGGGAGCGGAGGGGGCAGCACGGCCCTCTCAGGAGACACAAAGTGAGGGAGTTCAGCAGCTTGAGCAGAATAAAGAAGACGCAAATATCCTTGACAACAAAGACAGCGCCCGTATACAGGAAAGTACGGATTCACATGCTGTAGAAACAGCTCAGGCCCCGCAGGAAACGGAGGGGGAGAAGGCAGAGCAACAACAAGCAAACACCAAAGAGCAGGAGACGAATGAAGTACGAAACGGCGCTGAGACAACGGACGAAGGAATGGAAAAGCAGGGGATGAGGGAGGAGGAGAACCAAAAGCCAGGGGAGCCCAACGAAGGCGAAAATAGAAGTACAGAAAATGCCTTGAACGAAGCAAACCAATCAAAAGACACAGATCCCCTGCAACAAACGCAGGTGCACCAGCAAAAGGCGACAAACGAGGTATCAGGAGCCGAGATGCATCCGCCAAGCAGTGGCGACAACCAACAGCCAACTGAACAAACAACGCAACAAACAGCTGATCCAGAACGATCAAACGACGCAGAAGCAAAGACAGATACCAACGGGAACACTAACGCACAGACAAAAACAGAACCAGAGACGGGGACGGACACAGAGGCACAGGCAAAGACAGAAATAAAGACAGGGAACGCCATTCCCCGAACCGGGCACCATCAAGACTCCCCCAGCAGCTCTGCTAGCACTTCAGCTGTGCGTTCCTCGCCTTCTCCCCCCTCGCGAGTTTAGCTTTGCAGCGAAACGAGAATAACTCAAAGTTTAACTTAAAAACGTCTGGACTCTGAAGCCGTGCTGGCAAGGTGGAGGGTCCAGCATAAATAGAAATGAATGCGGAAGGGTTGCGGGGTTTGAGGTGGTCACGAAAACGCCAAACCCAAAACCATAAACCCTAAACCCTTAGTTGCCTTTTCACTAGTTCATCTATGTATCTTCTTGATTGCTTCTCCCCCAGGCGGAAAATGTGCATTTGTGAATCTGCTTCTACTTGTTGAGTAAACTATATCTTCCTCTGTTCGTTGCTGCTTGGGTTCTGCTGTGTTATGGGCCGCCACGCACCTACAAACAACCGCATGAATGAGTATGCGGAGTTTGGAGTCTGCGACTAAAGAAGAATTTGTTTTGTTTCGCTTGCAGAGGGATGATCCCCAGGCAATTGCGATCCGGTCTTTGAATGAGGAGCTGCGCAAGCAGAGCCTTCTGGCTGATGCCCTAGAGAAGGAGTTAAATGAAGCTCGTGAGAAGCTTGAGGAGGCGGAGGAGGCGAATATGAAGGTGACGACGCGTCTGGCCAGCATTCTATCGGGGCAAACAAGGCAAGAAACCTTCTCAGTCAGGTCCAACAGCCAAGTGCACTTTACAACGCCAATTCAACAAGAAGGCGGAGAGTTGCAAACCACCATCACACGAGAAGGATATGACGACGCCCTCATGCAAGTTTCGCAACTCGAAAAACAATTACAGGCGATGACTCAAACCCTCAGTGCACTAATGCAAAAAAAAGAAGAACAAGAAAAAGCACAAGCCGCTAAAATCATGGAGTGCAAGAGAGCCTTTGGGTAGGAGGCGGACACATCCACAGGAATATATTTGAGTTCTGTGCCTGATTCAAACCGCAAATGCCCAAAAGTACATTTGGTTTAAGATGTTTCTGCGTACTTCATTTAAAATTCTTGAAAGCGCCGACATTCAATTACGGAACCGGCAAATGAGTTGCTTCCAGTGTACAGCTGAAATAGCATCATAATGCATTTCTCCTGTGATTTTGTTTGTGTTTGTGTTCGTTTCTGTTTGTTTTCCCTAGGGAGTTTGTGTTGGAAGTGGCAAAGAACTCGGTGATGCAAAAGGGGGGCAAGCCCGTCTCGGAGCAGCAGGTGAGGAAACTGCTGCAGCAGGAGGAGGAGCAGCAGCAAATTGTTGACCGCCTGCGAGCAGACTTGTTGAGGATAGAATATGAAATGGAGCTAAAATTCGAATTATATAGAAACAGAGGACGCTGGCAATCAGACGAATGCGACGCCATGCAAGCGATGGACTTTGAACAACTCAAAATGGAAAACCAAACACTCAACGAAAAACTTGTAGAACGGCAAGAAGAAGCACTTAAACTTCAAAACATCGCCAAAAAATCCGCACAAGTACACCGAATAAACTCGAAAGCTTAAACCCTAAACCATTAACCCCGCGTCGTGCCCCTAATTTGCATCATTTGTTTAGCTCATGGTGATAATTACTTTGCCCATCGGGTCGTGCTGGTATTGCCGCATTTCAGTTGTCTAACGTGGCGGTTTGCTGTTTTGCATCCCTCAGCTAATAACCCACTGGAGGGAGAACCTCGCGTTTCAGGAGAAGAGAAACGCAGCCGCTGCAGCACAGCTGGCGGAATTGGACGAAGAGCTGGCCAAGCAGCGAGAAATAGCCGCTCAGTTGAAGCGAGAACGTGCAGAATACAAAGCTCAAAATGAAAAGGTCAAGTGCCAGACGGACGTCGCCAACTCCGAGCTCCTCTCTGCAGACTGGCAAGCGACAGAAGCCAAGATAAAAGAAACAGCAGCAGAAGTAGGCATTTAACCTCATTCATTCGCTCTTACTCTCCTCTCTTCTTTTGGTTCCCGTTGTTCATTTCTAGCCCTGATGCATCACAAGGAAGGCTAGCGCCAGCTATACACAAATAACAAATAAAAAAAATTGCAAACTGCTTAGAACCTCAAGCTACTTTCACTGCCTGAATTCCCCTAATGTGCACATCTAGCCCTTTCGGCTTTCTTGTTAACTACTGCACTTTGTGTGCACATGGCCGTGGCCAAAAAATTAAATGTCGTTGCGGTTGTAGGTGCAAATGCATTGCTTACTTACGTAGAGGCTTACACAACGCTCCGTGTCGAGTCAGTCTACTGCTGTTGTTTCCTTTTCCTGCATAAATCCATTCTCCATCATGTGCGTCTGTCCCTTGGATAGCATCGGTGGCTCACAATCCGTATAGAGCGTCCCTGCCGGTGTTATCTTGTTTGTGTACGTTGCACATGTTGAACAGATTGAGATTTTGAAGGAGAAGCACCGCCAGCTGGCTTCGTTTGTCTCGGACTCTGTGAAGCGGCGAGACCGCCGAAAGTCGCGGCTGACTCTGGAAGCCTCCAAGCTGCTGATGCGGTACTTGAATAAGCCAAATACCGAAAACTAGAGCAGCATTTACGATGAACAGGCGAACGCAGCCTGCAGTAGGAGGCGCACTAACTATGAAAATGAGGGCGATACTGCCCGGGATAATGATGACGCTAAAGGCGCTTTTAAAAGGCATGCGTTCCAACCGTATAATAGTCTTGTATATGCACATTAAGAAAGGAAAAGGGTTTGAAAGCACGTCTCTGGCAATACAAATACAGGCCAATGAACAGAACTTGGGTCCCCATCTCCTAAAAGCGCGATGCGGTGTTTGTTTGGGAGAACTTTTCTCTTCATATTACTTTTTACGTCTTTTCCCCTGCCGTTTTGCCTCTCGCTTTTTAGTTGCCTCACCCTGTTTTTTGCACCATTTACAACAGGCCGGCCACAGGATGACCGGGGGGATTTACAGCGGCAGTTCACGACAAGCGATGGCTACTTCTGCCTGAAGCGCAGTTACGAAGGTTGTCTGATCATCCGGACAACCTGCTTGTCTAGCTAGTTACAGAACAACTAGAGGAAACTAATGGATAATCGGTTTCTCGCAAATTGTATCGTTCGGCATGGAAAAGCGCACAGGGTCTTACCGCCCTTTCCTGGTACACCAATGCCCTTGTTAACTTGGAGCAGAGAAGGACGGGAAGAGGCCGTACAAATACATACATATACGCATCCGTATATATATATATGTGTGTATATATATGCACATATTTATATGTTGACACACTTATACGAGGCGTGTTCAAACAGTTAGTTGCTTTGTTTTTAGTTGGATGTATAATGCCAGTCAGTGGGGCAGCGGAATACGGTGGCTGTTCTGCACTGCCAATAACACCACTAACAATGTTACCATTGTACTTCCTTATTAATAATGCCAATGTACTATTGAGGCTATTACATTTGTATTATCTTTCACACAGAACAGACAGGCCCTAGATTTGGCCCCTTTGAGCATACCCTTGTTCGTCTTATGCTATTCACACAAACGCGTCAGGAAGGTTCTTGTCCAAGCAATGAACAGATAAAACAGCACCGGTTGCTGAAATTAAATGCCTGAACGTTTCTGGCAGTGTTCGTCACTCAGGAGATTATATTTATAGTGAGATGCGCCAGAGTAATGGGCATTGATGCTCCAGAATTTGAAAAGAACGTACAATAGCGGATCAAACACCGAAATATCAGTGCCAACCTCCTGAACTGACACAATCTAAACCAAAGGGCGAAAACTGACCTTTATAAAATGCATCTTCCATAGCACGGTTTGTCTGAAGTTGGTATTACGTGCATTTCTCCTTGCGGGGGCACTAGCTTCTGACGGCCAAGCACATGCTCTACGATTGTTTACAGTGCCACTGAATACAGCGAAAGAACGTTGTGTCTTATGCTTGCATGCTGGGTTACTGCCTAACAGCATGAGTGGAGGCAAGGTGTGCTGCAGCTCCTGACAGCCCACCTCCTCTCTGTACTATCAGCCATATGCCCTCGGGCCGCGGGTAACAGGAGGCCCCCAAACTGGAGAAGTTTTAAATATACTTATTCTTAGGGATCTCGTCAGAGGAATTTCATTCGTTTTGCTGTTCATCACGATAGTCCACAGCTCAGGGTATCGGGGACTCTCGTTATACGCTGGCGATCCCCATGCTGATGGGGCACTCAGCAGCAATAGCCTTCCCAGACGCAGAGATAGGCACCGGAGTTAGTTCAATAATCTAGTTTGGTGTAACGAGGTTTTAATAGTGCCGTGTGGAGGGGGAACCGGGGGAGGGAGAACAGCAACGGCGGCCCGATTGCAAAGTTAGGGACAAATCGGGGCGGAAAACAACGTTTTGTGCCTCTAAAGGAAATTTGATGTGCAAATGACTTTTTAAAGGATATAAAATGCTTATAGACCCTTTTAAGTAGGCAGAATCTACACATAGCACAGCGCTACCGCGCTGGAAGGAGACGGGAAAGCCGCGGCGCTGAGCAACAGCGAAACGCCAGCGAGTAAAAAACAAAGACAGCAGACAAAAGGAATAATTGTTCAAATACGAAAGTGTAATGTAAAATAGAGGAAACAACTTAGGCTTCCCTCAGCTCGCGCTGAGCACCGTGCAGGTTTCCAGTGGTCTCATTAGGCGAGGACGCGCTACCGCCGCAGAATAGGGGAATTGGAGGATAAGGAGGGCAGTATTGTTCTTTTAATTGAATTACTCTCAAAAAGAGGTTAAAAGCGTGAATGAACAATTAATTCAAGTTTATTTTTCCCTCATCGCAGGAAACTGCTGCCGACTTGCGCGAGCCCGAGGCCCTGTCGAGAGGCCAAGCCTGCTGAGGCCTGACGATGTTTTGCAACCGTTAAATTGCTTTTTGAGGGTTTAGCGAATACATTGGCAGTTGCATTTAATCAATTATGTCTTATATTTCACAAAGTTTCGGCCAACAGTCCAACCCTTAAACACAGCAGGCGTGGAGTCAGAATGGGTGGCGGCTCAGAGGGCCTGGGCCCGACGAGGCGCCTTGCCTGTAAACTTCTCCTTCTTCTTTGTCTTGTTGCATTGCACGGTGAGCCGAAACTACATACAAATTACAAGGACGGTATTCAACTTGCGCTGTAGGCCACGACAGCCCTCCATTCATGCGCCTCATCTAGAGCGGCCGCTCGGTATTTCTGGTCCTTAAGAATTTGTCTGCTATATGCTGCCTGATAATGCTCTCTTCTTCCACTTCCCCTGATTCTTTCGGTAGAATAAGCTATAAAAGGAGCTGGTTAGCCTCGTCTACTTTTCATGGTGCACAGCCGAGACAGACGACACTCAACATGTCTGGGGCTTCTTGTGTTTGTCTTTATGTCTAACTAAACTCGCTTCAATGAACACCCTGAGCGCCTATCACTGCAACAGAGGCTGTTGGTTGTCTACACAGCGACTGGCGTCTAGGGCCTTCACCATGCTCGTCGTTCGTGCGCGTGCTGCTTGTTGTGTTGTGTTATCCGCTGCCCTTTTCTTGCTACACCATGCTGCGCTGTTTGCGTTGTGGGCTGCTTTGTTTTACTTCTCAGCTGAGCCCGCTTCTGCTGTGTTGCGTCTCCGGAAATGGGGGTCGACCCCCTCAGTGGGTCTCTTCGCCTCGGATGCACCACTAGGCGTTGCCTCTGTTGGTCCCACTCCATCAGCTTCCCTTAGTACGCACGGATTTTCTACTGCAAACGAACGCATGAATGCAAATGCAGCAGCCGATTTCAATATTTTAAGCACTCGAGATGGAGAAGATGCAGTGGAGGAGGCCTCTTTTCATGATGCGGGAAACGCCTACAGCCAACTGGAACAATACAACGATAGCTCTCTCAACTTCGCGTACAAGAATAAAGGACCTCAAAAGGGGCTGCTCTTCAGGGGAAGGCGATCCAAAACAGCAGCAGCAGCAGCAAGTGGTGGGCTGAACACAGAGGGCTTTAGGGGGCTCTCAGCCTTGCAGGTAGCAGCGCAGCTGCGAGACGAACAGGAACAGGGGGACAGCGACGCAGATAAAGAGACAGAAAAGGCATCCGATGAAGAAGAGAAAGAAACTGATGACAGCTCAGGAGATGAAGACAGCAGCAAAAGTGCGAGCAGCAGCAGCAGCAGCAACAGCAGCTCGGAGAACTCAGCCGCAGATCAAGCGAACACTTCAGACACCGATGTAGCCGACAGCTCCAGCAAAACGTCAGCTCAGGAGGCAGAAGAAACTCCTGAGGCTTCTTCCCAGGCAGCAGCAGCCCCGAAAGCTGCTTCAGCTGAGGGGGAGCAAGGAGAAACGAAAGCAGCAGGAGAGGAGACGGCTGAAGAAGAAGAAGAAAAGCAAACAAAGTCAGAGCAAGCCTCTGAAGCAGAGGCGGCTCCTGAAGGCAAAGCTTCTTCTGCTGAAGCGCAGCAGCAGCAAACAACAGAAACAGCAAAAGAAGCCAAGGAGGGTGGAGCCCCCGCAGCAGCAGCAGCAGGGCCCGAGGCCAGTGCCGAATCGACCAACAAGAACCAAGGAGAGGCAGCTGCCTCCAGTGCAGAAGTAAGCAAAAGTGAAACTGGCGGGGAGCAAGAGACCTCTCAAGGCGAAAAGGAAAAACCGCAAGAGGAAGCGGAGGGGGAGGAGGAGGGCGAAGGAGGCGAAGAAGAAAAGGGAGGCAAAACGGCTGAAGAGGAAGAAGCGGAACCATCAGAAAAAGAAACAAAATCTGAAACGGAGGCGAAAGAGAAGGAAGAAGCGGAAACACAGGAAGAGGCAGAAGAGGCCCCAACTAGCGAAAAAGAAGAGCCCTCAGCCCCGAGCAAAGCTGAGAAGCCTGAGACTAAGCCAGTGCAGCAGCCTCCAAGCGAAGAAGCAACAGAAGCAGCAGCACCACCCCCAACACCAGCAGCAGCAGCACCTGAAGAAGCAGCAGCACCTGCACCAACAACAACGCCAGCACCTGAAGCAGCAGCAAAACCAGAAGCACCGACAACTAAAGCTGAGGCCGCTGCCAGACCTGGAGGTCCAGGGCCGAAGAAGACAGAGGGGGCTGGAGAAGCAGGAAAGGCAGCAGCACCAGAAGGTGCGGCGGCGCCAGCAGCTGAAGCATCAGCAACTCTGCCACCCGAGGAGAGTAGCCCAGAGAAGGCAGAGGGATGGGAAGTTTCTGCAAGAAGAAAAGAGGAACTCGAAAAGCCAGCAGAAGGCAAATGCTATTCAGACATCGCGAAGGAAGTGATTGATGAAGAAAACGCATTAATAATGAAAGCCACGGAAAACGGTCAGTCCACTACCCCCTAAATTAAATATACTATAGGAAAATGAGTGCAAGAGAAGACAAACCAACTGTAAACTAAAAAAAGCAATTGTGCTGGCACTTGTCAGGTCAAGATAGACAACATGATCCGCACACATGTGGTGCCTCCCTTCCTCCAGGAAAACATAGTTTATTGTATATGCATTGCATACACTACTGAATGTGAATGAACTAACCTACAAACTACGACAGGCCTCTGCTGTGGCAACCAAAAAAGGACGTTGCTCATGCTTGTAACCTACGTATGCGTACTTGCACACTTGCATGGGTCCAGGTGTTTGTTCGCATGCATTTATGTGTCTACATGCATACATGAATTCGTGCATGCATGCATGCAGACATGTATGCTCGTAGGCGCACGCTATGGTACAAAGAAGGGTACGTCTGTATTATGGATGATGTTGGGCTGCGTGTTGTATTTGCTTTGCAGTGCATTTCCAAGAAGCTGAGCAGGGTTTCTGTGATGAGGTGTTTCGGCGAATCGACGGCCCATTTTCTTTAAATGAACTCTCTGCTCTTTTGAGGGCCGCCGATGTCGCCAACTCCACCCATAGAAACTTTAGATATTGCAGGGCAACAGAGGTGGGTGTGTGCGCTTTTTCTCCTTGCTTGAGTCTGTTTATTCTTTCTATTCCCTTTGTTGCTGTCCACGTATTATTGTTATTAGATTCGCTACTGCTTTTTGTTCCTGCTGCTTCTGTTGTTGGCGCCAGTGTTGCTTCTCGCTCTTAGGGTCGTTATGTGCGATCGTCTTCCTGTTCTTGTGGTTTCCGTTATTCTTAGTTTTCTTTGTCATTTTATAATATTCGTATTCCCCTCATTAGTACTTCGGATTTTTTCAAATCTCAACTACTGCACAAACAGCCTCAAAACCAGGATGACGCAGAAACCCTTCTGGCTAGTGTCAGGCTTAGTGCACTGCCTTGCATGTTCCAACTGAAATCTTCCATATCCTGAATGCCTCACGATGTTTAGAGACGAAGGAAAAGACAAGACAGAGCAGTAGCGGCTCGTGCAAATTGTTTTGCGTTTTTGCTGCTTCAGAACAGCAGCCCCCCACGCGTTATGGACGGCGATTCCCTGCTGCATGCAGCGATAGCCGCGAGGAAGCCCCTTGTGGTGGAGGTGCTGCTGCAGTACGGCGCGTTCCCAGAGCTTCCGGCTATCCCTCACAAAGAGAGGCCCCAGACACAAATGGGGGGCCCTCTTCATGGACTGAAATCCACTGAGGTGGGTGGGCCTGGTGTCCTTTGCTGACGCGCTCTCCTTCACTCTTTCAGTGTCTGTGTGCTGCTGCTGCTACGGGTGTACCATTCTACACCTCTATTTGATGCTGGCATAAGTGTTTGTTGCGCACCTCTCAAGTGGGAGTAATTTAAATGCTATTGTGGTTCTCACGTGCACAGCGGATAGCTTAACGATGGTACATCTGTACATGGGATTATTTGACCTTGTGCTGCTTGGGGCTGCATGCAGATGGCGAATGGGACGCCAATGCATGCAGCGGCTCTTGTACAAACTCCTGACAGTGTGGAGGCGATGGAGCTGCTGCTGCATTACGGGGCGAAGACAGACAGTAGAGACACCTGGGGGAGAACGCCTCTTATGATTGCCGCTTTCCACCCCACTGCTCATTCTCACGAGTTTATTAAAAGACTCATTCTGGCTAAAGCAGATGTCAATGCCAAAGACAAAGTAAAGCATTTTCTTCAGCTCGAGTTGATCTTTCTCGCTGAATTGCTGTCTGTTTTCACTTTTGGTTTGTTTGTGCGTATTCCTTTTGCTACTTGGCGTCTTGCATGTTGGGGCCTTGGTTCTGTTTGGGTGCCCCCCCTCCCTATTGCCTCTGTTTAGCTGATGTCAGTATGTTTCACTAGTTGGTTCGTCTTTGTTTGTACAGGCTGGCCTCAGCGCTCTGCACTACGCCGCAGCAGCAGACAACTGGGGTGTTGTGGGTATACTGCTGGATCACGGGGCGACGGCTGCTGCTGTTGATTCGCGGGGGAACACTGCGCTGCATTATGCTGCATCTTTCAACTCCTACACCGCGACTCTGCGTTTGCTGGAGAAGGCAGAGCTGGCCCTCAGCAACATCAACCAAGCAAACTACAGAGGCAAGGCGCCCATTCACCTCGCAGCAGCCCCAGTGTCCTTCCAAGCCGTTCCCCGCCCTATTGTGCCTGCTCTTGCCCTCGAAGCTCTTCTCGTTCACCACGCAAACCCTATGGCCCGAGATAAAAGTGGGAATACGCCTCTACATTTAGCCGCTCAAGGAGGATATGTGGAGATCGTTCGGCGCCTCGTCGCCTTGACTGGGGCTCCACCAGATGAGAAGAATGCAGTAAGGAATTCAAATCACGAACTCAAACATTTTAGACGTTTGTTTCGTCTGTTAAGGCCCGATGAACAAATACAACAGCCCACATATTCAGGTGTTTGGACGAGCGGAGTAGCAGCAGCTACCTGCAGCCAACAGGGGCAACTGCACAGTAGCAGAGTTCATAGTTGTACTTGGAACACTCATGAGCACTTGCAGGGGGGTATTGATTATAATCACAAGGAGCTAGAGCTTTCATATATATGCGTACATATGTATGCATATATTATATGTGTATGCATATGTATATGCATATGTATATGTATATGTGTATGCATACGCATATGTAATGTATTCTGCAGGAGGGACTGACGCCTTTGGCGATGGTGGAAAAGGCGGGAAAAGGCCCCGGAAGGGAGGAAATAACGCAGTTCTTGCGAGTATACAGTCAGAAAAGAAGTGAGACCATATCCCTTCACATTCTTTGGGAATGCCGAAGAAGGCGTCGATGTATCTGTACACCACGTAGTGTACTGATACCGTGTGAGCTGACCTGTGCTGCTTTCATCAGTTCTGCTTTTTTTTGTCCCTTTCTTGCGCTCTTCTTTAGGTTGCGTGGAGCCTCCACTGGTGCGGCACTCCACTCGCATTTTCTCAGACACAATGTTGGGCCCTTATATGCGTGTGGTAAGCATAAACCCTAGACCCTAAACACTCTGACTTTAAGTTACCAGAAGCTGGAAACGAAGAAACGCAGAAAAATAATTACGAACAGCTGTCGTGACCACCGCAGCTAGGTGTTTGTTCACTTGCTCGCCTTCCTCCTGCTTGCTGGGCCCCATAATGCCAGGAGGAGCATTAACCGGCTTGTCCTCACGGGCTCATTGTCTTCCTTATCACCTTGTCGGTTTGCCTCTCGTTTTGCGTGTGTCTGCATTTGTAGGGAGACACTGTGACGTACACCTGCAACCCAGGGTTTACAATGCTGGGCCACGCAACAGTGACATGCCACGAAAGAGACGGGAAAATGGAGTTTGTGCCTTCGGCGCCGTTGTGCGTCCGCACCGTAGAGGAGTCCGCTGCTTTTGTTCCTCTCTTGAATATATCTTTCAGTGTGTGCATAGGCCTTATAGTGGCAGCTGCAGCGTTGTTTCCTCTTTAATAACACTCAATATACACAGACGGCAGCAAAAGAGATATTTTGTTAGGTGAATGAATACAATGTAATTTAATCTAATTAATTTTTACGTGTAGCAGTCGAAGGCTCCACTAAAGATGAGCCGTTCATTGTAAAACTGCTGCTGACTTCAATGGCGTCTGTTTTTATGTCTCGTTTAAATCGCATGAAGCAGAGGCAAAAAGTTGTTTCTTGCGAAATTTATGCAACAAGCGTTTAATTGATACTCCTTTTCGAGCAAACTGTCTAAATAACCTCTCTGTTAAGCGGACATTTGCCTAATTAACAGTCCTCACCACGCCAACTACAGAGAATATGACAGTTTTCAAGGTGCCAGTGACAGTGCAGGGTTTACGGATTTGCATTTAGGGTTGGAGGTTAGGGTTCCTCCTGAAAGCGTACAGAAGTAACGAGGAAGCAGTAGTCTTCACCTAGTTTCTAAAGGCGGCACATGAAGAAAACTGCTTGAAATCCGCATTTAGGTTTCCGAATTTTGCCTTTGTCAGTTTGGAATAAGTATTTCCACTGGTCTAGCTACACCCTAATCCCCCGGAAAGCTGCTGATCTCCCCTCGTTTTCGCAAGCATCCTGGGCACAGAAGCTCAGAGTCCTGGGGATAGTGGAATGAGGAGCCAGCTCCCTCAGTTGCAGCATCTCCCAAGGCAACAGAATGAATTAGCGCTGACTTCGTTGCTAAAGACTGGTTTGGTTCATATTATTAGCCAACATGTTCACAAATCTAGATGCATCTACCGACCTCTGACGGGCCCTACTGCCTTCATTGCTGTTGGGGTTTAGCGTGTTCTGTCTGAAGTTCGAACGCATATGTCGACTTACGTGCCCATTGGCCACTGAGGGTCTCGCACGAGCTTAACCATTGCGCAGTGTTAGTGCGTGCACCGAAGTGGAGTTTGGGTCTAATGATTTCATATGGGGTTGTACTGCACCAGGAATTGCAGAAAGTTCCATTGCAACTTGTGACGAGCTGGCTACACTATTCACCATCTCCAAGCCACAAGGCGACGCGAGCACTGACAGCTCACGATGCCTGCTGACTGAAGAGGAAGTCGCCAACTGTCTTCGGCATATTAGCATTTTGCGTATTTTGAATCCGTTGGAGTGCACGAGGGTCTTGTGCTAAAATCGAGTGCATCCGTTACACTGTCCAGCGTACACACCACGCGTTTGTGTTCGTCGCGTCAGCCCACTTCACCCTTATTCATCTATTCATTATTTGAACTGTACACGAGTCCCTCCTGACATGCAGTAATATCTGCATTACGTTGGATTTCTATACATGAATGTGCCCGAAAGCTACAGGAATGCTACGGACTACTGCATACTGCAGGGGAGAATAGCCGCTCCCTACGAGAAAATGCTGTGAAATTCCCTCTACGAATTGTTAGTGCTGTAAGTTATGGTTTGTTAGATGAATTTACAGAGTATAAAAAGCTTATGAGATTCTTCACCTCGCCGAAGCAAACAGAAACCTGTCAGGCGCTTCTGCCTGCGCCTATGTACGATCTCGGGCGTGTCATCACCTATGTGCAAAAACTCAGAGATAATGGCCACCTATGCCCGCAAACCCCTACACATCGTTGCATACTGCATGAGAGTTTACAACTTGAAAACAGCGGGACTGAAACGAATACAGACAGGTAGGTTGGGCATTCCTTTCTGCATATCATGCACACGGGCTTATCCAGCCCCAAATACTGCCGCCAGTGTCTTGTTAATCCTAGGGACAGCGGCGCAGTTGCTAGATACTTAGGTACTTGAGCTCGTTTCTGCCGTAAATTATTTCTCCACCTCCTCTCCAGTTTTTTCTTTAAGTTCCGCGATTATTGCACTGCCCGGCACCGCAGCACTCCCCATGGTTCAGCCGCTGAATGCTGCTCAGCCGCCGCTGCCGAAAGCGCTATTTGACTAGTATTAGATCTTATCAGAGGATTTTCGCCAGACAATTCTCTCTCTCAGCCCCTCCTGGAACCTTGAGGGCCAGGGGTGCCGGAGAAAATGTCGCAGTTTCGGGACACGTTCACGAAGGACGAGCAACGGGAGAATTTGCTAGACTATGACGACAATGCGTTTATGTTCTTCTTATGCAGCGTCACAGTCTGCATATTGATACCTTGGAGCTTCTTCTTTTTCCGAAAATGCCTTGCCGTGTCCAATGCCTACCGCCAGAAGTACCCGGAGAATTCCGCCGTGGGTTCCAAATTCAGATATTGCGAATGCCGTGCGTGTGTCGCACAGCGCGCTGAGCTCCGCAGGGAACTTTCTCTTTTCCGCACGCGCTTCCTCACGAAAGGGCGTCTCATTGAGTTCACAGCCCTCATGCTTTGCTGGCTTGGCTTCGTTTTAATATGCCGCAACTTGCAAGACGTCCACAGCATTAAAACCTTCGACCCTTTCGAAATCCTAGACGTCAGCCCCTCAGCAACTCAGCGGGAAATCAAAAAGGCGTACCGCCTCATGTCGCTCAAATACCACCCAGACAAAAATGTTAATGACCCGACGCAGGGAGCAAGATTCATTATGATCGCCAAAGCGTACCAGGCACTAACGGACGAAGTAAGCAGCCGGCAGGGAAAACAGATGAACACATTACTAAATAAGCCTTCGTTATTCTGGGCCTCTGACTAGTTGGCGGCTGCCTTCTTTTCTTTCCTCCTTAGGTCGCGAAAAAGAACTACGAGAAATACGGCAACCCGGATGGCCCCGGCGGTATGAAGATCGGCGTCGGACTTCCCAGATTTTTAGTTGAAGAGGGCAACCAAATCTTCGTCCTCTCGTTCTTCTTCCTCTTTCTCCTTGTTGTCTTGCCCATGATCTTCCTCTGCTACTACCAGCGGCAGAAGAAATATGCTCGTAGGTTTACGCACGAGGAGTCATGGGAACCACAAATGCACGTGCATGCCGGGGTTGATTCGTCTGTGACACACTTCTCGGCAGAATATCCTTCCTCTGGGCGTACTCTCCTGCTCATCACACTTATCATGGGCGAAGAAGAAGCATTTAACACCCTGTTTTAACGGCGGTGGGCCGCCGTTCGAGTAGGGACTTTTTGCGGCACGGGCTTATACCTTCAGGTGCACGCGACCATTTATCAGCAGGTTGTTCATCTGATACTCATTCTATATGCACTTGGCCTTTGCAGCTAACGGCGTGATGGTCGATACGGTTCAGTTCCTCACGCATGTAATGACAGAAGGCACACGGTTAAAGAACTTACCAGAGCTGCTTGCTGCCAGCGGAGAGAGCCGCGCAATGAAGATCGAACGAGACGATGACAAGGATATGCGACAGATATGCGATGCTGTGGTGGAATCCAAAAAGCGCATATTCACAATGCCTGTAATCGTCCGGTGTGCCTTCTTTACCTGAAACATTAGACTTAGCTCCCCCAGCCCCCCCTCCTGTTGTTGTGCAGAGAGCTCGACGGTCCAGTCCACAAATAGAGGACTTCCAAAACCGCCGCCTCACTGGTTGCCAAAATGCAGTCTAGTGTATGTGCTGATTGCTGACAGGAACTGCTATCTCATCAACGCTCACATGCAGCGACTGCATGAGCTAATGAGCCCACGGCTTCGGAACGAGTTAAACCAACTTCTCAAGTATGCACCGGGCAGTCAGGAGTTGCACCTAGCATGGACATTCGCTGCTGTATTTTGAGCGCTTTTGAAATTCTGTGCGCCAGGCCATGCACCTATGCTTGGTTATTGGTTGTTTCTGCAGGGACTCGCTGCCTATAACGCAGTGCATGATGGAGATATCCGTCCTCAGTGATTGGTACCTGACTGCAGATTCAGTCTTGGAGTTCCGGCGTTGCTTGGTTCAAGCCATTAATGGGAGATCGCACTCGTTGTTGCAAATCCCTCATTTTGATGAGGACGTTCTCCGCCACTGCCACCGGTGAGAGCAGGCCGTGTTCTGATCACAGGCAACCTGTTGTCCCGACAGTTGACTGCACAGCAGTACTTTGCTCTTCGTGCTTGTGGAATCTCTGGACTGGCTCGTGCGCCTGTGAGTCTAGGGGAAAGCATGTGATTCGCGAGCTGAGCGAATTCTTACGGCAGGAGGGCGAGGAACGACGAGGCACCCTAGATATGTCGAAGGAGCAGCAAGCTGACATTCAGGCCTTCTGTGAGCATGTCCCTAATATTGAACTCCAAGCGGAAATAGTTGTGGACGACGAAGCAGAAATTGTCGTCGGTGACGTGGCGACTTGCCGCATAACAATGACACGGAAAAACTTGAAGGTGCGGGACTTGCAATGCAACTGTTTTTGCAAGCGGCGTTTTTTCAGAAACAGGATACTTCGGTCTTTGGAAGAGCCGATGTGTAGGAAACGCGCAGTTATGCATGTGCGAAGTGTGGCCGATTGTGTGGCGGTGGTATCAGGAAGGCGAAGCTGCAGGGGCAGTGCATGCACCGTATTTCCAAGAACCGAAGTACGAAGAATGGTGGATATTTTTGAAGGAAAAGGGCGACAGTGTTACTGGAGGTAGGCGGTAGAAAAGTTAGCTACTTCGAGCTAGTTTTCGGTTAAAGGCAAGCGTTATATTTTGCTTCTGGTGATGGTCTACGCTATGCTGCAGGACGGCTCATTAATTTCCTGAAATCCAGAAACTTAGAAAGAGTAGTCAAGGAGAGCTTACAGTTTAGGGTTGGAAGGCCTGGGAAAAACGTGTTGACGGTGGTCGCATCCTGCGATTCCTACGCGGGAGTGGACGCTACAATTGATGTAGAATTTAGAGGTAGATTAAATACCAACATAAAACTTTTGCCGTCTTGGAATTTTGTAGAGGTGCTGTAAGATCTCTTTCGTACGAGTGCGCGTTTTTGCAGCATACACACCCGAGGAAAAGCCACGCGAAGTTTTCGTGCATCCCGAAGATGTAAAGCTGGATGAGGAGCCAACTCTCTTCCAACAGATGCTCGGTACATACTGTCATCATTATTTAGGTTTCACCCGGTGGTGATAATGAAGTTACATTTTTTTTTGTTTGCTGGCCATCGACACCAAATCTTGTACCTACGATGCCTTGCGATCCTTGCGCTTGCAGGGGATATATGTGTCAACTCGAGTGACGAAGAAGAGGAGTTTGACTTGGACGAAGCTCCAAAAGTTGTAAGAAAGAAACCAGCTGCCGAGGCGGAAGCAACAGCTGCTGCAAAGCAGGATGACGCAAAGGAGACCGAGAAATCCACGGAACCGGCAGCCTCTGCAGCCGAGCCGAAGAAGAATGATGGCGGGGCCGTGAGTCTTGCACCATTAGAACCAGGGTGGTTTTTGACATCATAACTATTCGCGCACTGTCCTTTTTCCGCATTATATTAAGGCGAACGAATTGCTACATGATTCTGTTTGCCCTCAAGTTTTGCATTTCGGCTGTTGCGTACATTTCCCAGGGAGCGGAAAACCCGAAAGTTTCTTCGTCGTAAGGGTTTCGGACAACTGCGCCTCCTGTAATGCGCTCGCTTGCTTTACTCTGCCCAGAGGTGTCGAGTCTGATGGCTCTCCCCCTCAGAGACCTGCACCAAAGGAAATTTGTGTGGTGTGAATTCCCTGGGACAATATGCGTAGCTGGTTCTGCAATGCCGACGCAGCGAAGTGGCTGATATGCAGGCTTTGCATTGGTAGGCAAGGCGATGCCTTTACAGCATAGTGACTTTCGAAGCATCGCTTTGTCACAAGATAGTTTTAAGTCGGTTTTAGGCTGTTACGGGGCGTCCAAACCGTGAACTGACGTTGAACTTTGAAGGTATTGGTGTTTAAGGCAGTCACGAATTAGTAAAGCTTTAGTTTGAGTGTTTTTTCACCTTCGTTGGACTGTTAAACTTTGCACATATTTGCTTCACTGAAATTTGTTCCAACGAATGTATGTGATTTAGTTGAAGTAGCAGAAGGGGCAAAAGGTTCCAGCTTTCTAGATTGCAGTTTTCAACAGCGTCAAGCAGAGCAAAGAAAATGCGTTTATCCCATGGGTTATGTAGCTGTTGAATTGCCCTTGCAACATGTTTTCCTTATCTCGATGCTTCCGCAATCCAGGATGCTCCACATCTTCGACGGATCGGATGCTGCTCGAGCTGCCACATAGGCCTCACAGTCCCTAGCTACGGACCAAATTATTTTGAGCTCCACAAACGCAGAAGGGCGTCAGCGTACCCAGTTTTGTAGTGTTTGTTCCTGTGCACTGTTGCAGCATCTTGCGAACTACAATGATCTCGTCGAATGTCACACTTCCTTGAGTGAGGAGACGACGAAGATGGCATATGCAGTAGTGAACCTTTAAAATGCATTACTTCCCATGGTATGATAGCAACAAGTTTAGCGTGAATTCACCAGTGTGTGGACTTGGAACTTGTCGGCCGCCATAAGAACACGCATGCACCTAGTCCAATTTAGCTCGGCGGAATCAGGCAGCCTGCGAAGTTTCTTTGCGTACGTTGCATGGCCAGTGTGAAGAGCAGTACACGATCTTACCTGTCTTCTTGAATCCACTCGATGAGCATGATGGCAACATCGGTATCCATGTCCTCTAGGGCGATGAAGCTCGAATTTGCCTCTTTGAAGCTTCCTGCTCTCTGAATAAACAGATGATTCTTCCGGACAGTTGACCCGACATACCCGAAAACATCCTCTCGAACACTGGCGACCGACATGATAGAAGGGCCTTGCTGCAGAGGACCCCTTTAGAGAGCGTATACATGCGGCACTGCAGTGCTGGAAGAAAATTTCAACGTACGTCGTGAGCCAACTTGAACGACTACACGATCTGACCACAGATGGATCGGCTTGGGTGAAAAAGCCAGTGGACGTAGGCCGTACCGGTTGCCTCCTTGAAGAATCTGAAGACACTCCATGGCATCGGCTTTGGGCTTCCCTTCGTGTCATTTCCTTACTTTCCGGTCAAGTATTCGAACACGTCGCATTGCAGTGAACCGGGCGATGCTCCACGATTAGGTTCCGAGTCGATGTGGATGAGCCGTCGAAGGAAACGCATTTCCACCTTGAGGACTAGACGACTCCCGACCTGAGCGCTAATAATATAAGGACTTGCCATAGAACGTAAGCATGATAGGACTGACTCGAAGAATGTTGTGATCTGTCCAATTAAAAAAGAAGCGCACATAGCCGCGTTTTGCTCTGCAGATCCCCACCGTTTCACATGAGGAAATCTCCTTAAATTCGTCCCGTGCATCGAGCAGGGTGAGTTTTGTAACGTCAGGCAGATCTGTCAATCATTGCGACTTTCTTCAATATTACACTCAAGTGCAAATGCACACTACCTTCAGTGCCTGCATTCGCGCTATGAACTGGAGCTCTTCAAGAAGCAGTTTTAAAGCCGTGCTACCTTCGTTTGATATGGTTATTGTGAGTGCATCCCAATCTTCTCGATCTCCTAAGAAACCTTTTATTGCGGCTCGCAAGGGCATCAGAAGGTGCAAATGTTACCGTTTGGACATAGCCTGGTACAAACATTTTAAATATAAGATCGGGGAGAGACTGGAAATATTCTATGTGAAGTACCAAAGCTGGAGTTCGAGCCCTGCTGCTTGACCGAAGGACCCCAGGAACAACACCGTGCCATGCTCAAAAAATTCTGTTTGTATCCATACGTGATCGTGTTAATTCATGCAATCGATATCATTTCAACTGCCGCGTGTACCTTCGGAGTCCTCCGGGCAGTCAGGTAGAGCCTTTTTCTTTGCTGAGAGGACAGAGCCCTGAGTTTGTCAGCGTCACCACTGCAGCATTTGATAGGGTCGTACCGAGGTCCCTAAGTAGGTCAAATTTAGCGATCGTGACCTTGTGCACAAGGAGCTGGAAAAGCGGCTCCACAACTCCTTCCGACATCAGAACGTTCTTGCAATCCATGGTTGTGAATTAGGAGCTCGAGACAGTCGACTTGACTTATGGGAATTCATCATCACATAGCACTTGCAACATCCTCGCCACTTTCCGGTGTCAGTGGTTTGCCGCCTCTTATCAGCTGCCTCTAGCTCGAACCACTTAACACAGTACGAGAAAAATGAGGATTGGGCGCTAATAAGACAGCTCAGACACCTGAACCTTCGATGCATCGCGCGCCTCACTCCGGAAGTACAGACACCTCAGAGCCCTGCCCCCGACAAAGTCTGGTCATTTCTTTTTTTTTGCAGTTTAAACCTCTAGATTTTAGATGGAACGTTATGATATTCGCTTTTGTCATTTGGGGAAATATTCCATTCAACTGTCAGTGTTCGAATTCTGCAAGTATCGTCTACGCGCCCATTCACGCTCGCCCACCGACTTTCCGTAACGTTTCCAGTGAGCAACCTTTGCCGACGTCCACAGAAAGCTGCGCAACTTTCTTCTATGGCACATTCACAGATTTCTCTTTGCGCATGCTCGCTAGATATGCATGAAAACTGTGCAATGCGCATGCTACTTTTCACCAGGCCAGCAAGTGAAAGGTTCCCAAAGTTGTCCTGCGTTCTGCTAAAAAAGATTTGAAATCACCCAGCGCCAGCTTCAAACGCAGGCAACTACCTATTGATCGCAAGACCCAAATATCACCAGCCCGTCTACACAACTGACTACTAACAAACTCTGCAGTGAATTATGTCTCTTCCTCCGCAGAAGGCACCCCTTTAATCTACCTGCAGAATGGCGAAATGCCGGGCAGCATTCCAAGCCACGCCATTAAAAAAAGTAACTATTCCGGTTCGTACCGGTTAGTTGCACGCTCTATGCGTGGATAACTGAAAAACTAGTTCACATTATCATGGGCTCGGAATAAAAAACAATGCAGCTCCGGCCACTGGCGGATATATATTCCGTCCGAACTTACAGTTCACGTGCGGCCAACTACTTAATTTCTCTATGGATCGTATGGCGCCTTAGGAATTTGTTGTATTTACGAAGTTGGAGAGGTTGGGGTGTGTTCCTGCGGTTCTTGGTTGTTGTGTACCTAGACGGAGGTTTTCCTTCAGCCCGCGCTTCTGTGCATTCCAAGATGACGAAATGGCGGCGGTCTTTCTTCTTCATCAGAAGCGTCGTTGCACACTGCGAGTAGGTAATGGGATGGTTCTTCAGTTTCACTTCTCCACCGAGTTCTGATCTGCTGGCCAAGATGCCCTGGCCCGCATAGCCACTCCATGTACTGCTGCTGCGGGAAACTCCAAAGGGCTCTGCCGGTATTTTCTTTGAGATAAAAAGCAGAGTTAGAAAAGTGAGACAGTTGGGGCCAAGCTTCATCTCGAGATCAGCGTTCAAGATGGCCCAGGGAGCGCCAGACACCTGCGCAAGCGGAGCCGTCGGGGTGTCTTTCTATTTGAATATCCATCGAGATTTCCGTATGTCTGGCCCCTTGAATGAGAAAAGACGAAATGAAAAGGGCTGTGAATGAGTCTAAATGATGGAGAACTGCTGGCTGTTGCCGTTCCTCTTCTGGCTACCCGAGCTTGTAGAGGAGAATAGCGATTTGCCCCACATAAAAGAAGATATTAGTTTTATGTTCACAAGAGGAGCAGTTTGCGAAATCTCTGCCGACTACACAGTGCCAATTAGGTGAATATTTGGCGTCAAAGAAGTCTTTGATGTGCTTAGAAATATCTTCTTCCTTCTCGTACCTCGCCTTGGCTATGGCGCCCTGGGCCACTGCATCCTGATACAACTCCGACTCAGGGTCGATATCGGTCACTGGAGGCCTCACTGCTGCCATTTTGCAGTTTCTGTTGTATATTTAAGAGTATTAATTCTCTTAAGGGGTTTAATTTAAATGTCTTTTAGTCTACGGACCTTCTTCCTCCACAGATTCAACTCGTACTACTAACAACTGCCTTGCAGCCGCCTGGTCGTACATACAACTCTGCTGCTATGGTTGTGATTGCTTCTTCAGTAGGCCCTCGAAGCGCCTTCTTATGAGTGTACACCCAAAAATATTTCTTAATAACCAGTTTAAATTCTTTATTTGAATTATTTAGATGTGCTATTCGTCGCAGGTCGGCTTGTTTAGCGGGGAGCCCGCTCCAGAAGTATTGCACCTGTGCAGCAGCTGCTGTTAACACTGAGTAATGTATGAAGCATAGTTAAACAAAGGCAGGGAGGAGGGGGCCCCTCTTATTTGTCTGTATTGCAGCTGCACATATTATATTTGTTTTTATATCTGAATCCAATAAAACATACAATTGGCTTCAGTTTGCAGTGTACGTACGTGTGTGTCCTGAATAAATATTATATATTTTTAAATTTACTTTTTCTACGCCTGGGGCCCCGCTGCCGCTGCCGCCGTTGGAGTTTGCCTCCGGCTTTAAATTCTTTTTGCTGCGCGTTTGATGATGTTATTACTGCAATTTAGGGTGTATTTATGAGGCAGTTGGGGGGCGATGTCTCGTCTTGCTGCTGCACCTGAATTCATAAAAGGAGGAAGACGCATCGAGCTGCTGAAATGCAGACAAGCAGCGGAGCCGCGGGGTTGTTGGCGTTGGGCCTGAGGGCGCCGCTCTGTGGATGGCGAGGCCTCCGCCCCTCGCTTTCATTTCCTTCTCTTTCTCATGGGGCTTCGCCTCTGGATTTGAAGAGTGCTTGCATGCGTACAGGAACGCAGCAAAGGCGTTTGGTGCTTCCTTCTGCACGGTGTACAGCAGCAACAGCAACACCAATAACAACGACACTAACAACAACACCATCATCATCAGCAGCAGCAGCAGCATCGACATCATCAGCATGGACGACATATCGTGGGTGCCGTGCTGGTGGTGCGTTGGGTGGCGTCGGCGGTGATTGTTATATTCTTCGTTCTAAGTGCGCATCTCCCGTTTCAGAGAGAGAAGTATATCCTTCTGCTTTGGATTCTGTCTGCGTTGTTTCTTCCTCTGTTTTGTGTGTTGTCAGTCCTGTGCCTGTGGTTGGCGCTTCGCGTGCAGTGGCTGGGGTTTTCTTGAATATGTTGCGGCCTCACGATCCACTGCAAGGCGTTGCGGGCTCTGCTCCTTCTTCGGGGTATCTGCGTCAGAGTGTGCGGTTTAAAATGGTGAAGTCCTCCGCCTATCACCGTCGTAGCCGCGCATCGCCTACGGGTCAGAGCCAGAAGGCGCACCTGGGGGTGCGGCGATTGTCAGCTGAGTTTGTTTCTCCAGGGTGTTTGCTGGTGAAGCAGCGGCGGTATATAGCGTGGGGATTTGAAAGTAAAAGAAGAAAGCGACATCAGAAAATATACCCTGGAGAGAATGTAGGAGTTGCTAAAGATTCTTCTCTGGTGGCTTTGGTTCACGGCCGCGTTAAGTATACTCATGAGGTGTCTAGACAGCTGCTTCTGTGCAATGTTTTACCTGAGCCTCGCGAAGAACTTCTTCGCAGTGATCTGTGGAGATACAGAACAGAACATGTGCAAAGCAAAGAAGAAAACAGACATATTTGCCATTTAAGAAGAAAAGCAATTCCTTCATTCCCTAAACCCCTCATTAACCCACCAACAAAACCTCTACCCAGGCCCAAGTATCTCAGCAGAAAAGATGCGTGGCAGAGCCCAACACTCCCGGATGCTCCTTCTCTTTGCGAAGATAAATAAAATGCACACCTTAATAATCATACTAATGCATTAATACACACATGCACACATACACATACATACACATACATACACACACACATATACACATACATGCATACATACATACATACATACATACATATACACACTCAGACAGACAATCTATACACCGCAATGAACTGCATGCAGCGACGAAAAACAAACGAAATACAGAAGCAACATGCACAAACAACACCAACAAACAAACCATACAAACAAGCAAGTACGAACAAATGTTTGCTTGTTTGTATCTGCTTGTTTGTTTGCACAAACACACACAAACACATACAAACACATACAAACACAAACACAAACAATACAACTCACGGGGTGCGCCTGTTGGGGTTGTCGTTCGGTTTTGTTTTTTGTTTTTTTTTTCTCTCCGTTTTAAGGATTTCTTGAAGCAAAAAACAGACAGAAGACAGAGAAGAGAAGAACAAACAGAGGGAAGTAAATAGAGAAAGAAGAAAGGCAGAAGAATAAGCAGAGAGACAGCAGCAGATTGACAAACAAACAAACAAACAGTGAGAGAGAGACAGAGAGAGAGAGAGAGATAGAGAGCGAGAGCAGAGAGAGGTATATGCACAGAGAGAAACAGAATACAGGAGACAGAAGCAGCAAACACGAGGAGAGACATCAGCAGAGAAATGAGGAGACAAAAAGAGACAAACAAGTAGAGATAAAGAGACAGAGATAGGCAGACAAATACAAGAAAAGAAGCAGAAGCAAACAGACAAATAGAGATAAGCAAGCAGAAACAAATAAAAGAAAGAGACAGAGACAGAAACAAACAAAATAAGAGATAAAGAAAACAAAGCAAACTGAGAAAGAGACAGAAAAGAAGAAGCATGAAGACAGGGAGAGAAGAAATAATACAAAAGAAAGACAAACAGCACAAGAAGACAACAGACAACAGCAAACAAATAACAAGCAACAAACAAACAAACAAAACAAACAAAACAAACAAATAAACAAAACAAACAAACAAACAGAGACAGACGAATTAACATTCCCAGCAGACGTCGGCACTGTTTGTTGGTTTTGTTTCTGTACGAGACAAAGAAGAAGAAACATAAAACAAAAAACAGACAAACAGCGCATGCAAAGAAGAAGATAAGAAGCTGCTGCTAACGAGCTGACCCTAAAGGAGTAGAAGAGAAACCGAGAGGAAACAGAGAGACTCAGAGAGACAGAGACAAGAGACAAGAGAGACAGAGACAAGACGAAGAGAGACAAAGCAAAGGAGATAATAACAACTCGGGGAGAGCAAAGACTGCCTCTTAAAAAACAATAAACGAGACAGCGTCAGAGTTGCGGAGGCTCTTCGTTTTGTTTTTCTTTTTGTCTTTCTTTTTTCTTGCTTTCTCTTGATAATCTCCTGCTGCCTCCTTCTTCTCTTCTCTCTACAAAGAGCACCTTGAAAAACTGTACATTAACCTCAAACAACCCATCACTCTATCTGTTGTTTTGCTGCTGTGGCTGCTCTGCTGCTGCTTTGTTTGTTTTGTGGGGCATGAAGTTAGAAGGAGGAACGAATTAACAAGCGGTAAGGCCATAAAGCGTAGCAGCAGCAGCAGCAGCAGCAGCAGCAGCAGCAACAGCAGACACACGAGGCATTGGGGCATTAAGTTGAAGACAGGAAGGGCTGTGAGGTGTCACTGCACTTCCACCGCCTTCGCTGCAGCGGCGAGCCCGCAACTGCTGGCGTCAAGCGGCAGCAGCAGCAGCGGTAGCAGCAGCAGTAGCTGCAGCAGCAGCAGTCTTTTTTGTTTTTTGTTGCCTCTTTCTTTTCCTTTTTTCTCGTTTCTCTACACGTGCTGCATGCAGTGTACGCGCAGCTCACTGGGCAGCTGCTAGCTGTACCTAGCTGTAGCTAGGTGTAGCTAGCTGTAGCTAGCTGTAGCTGAGCGGAGCGGATTATTATGGTTGGGAGCTGTACTGAGCTTGCGAGAGAAGGCAAAGCGCTTGGCTTTAGCGGCAGCAGTTTCTTTCTGTTGTTTTAATTATTATTGTTATTATTATTATTATTATTATTATGTTTGAATGGAAATAAGAATACTGTGAGAGAAGGAAGCAGCTGCCACAGCAACTCGGAAGCAATAATATATATATTTATATATATGTATCTAGATATACATACGTATATATATATATATATTTTATATATATATATATATATATATAGGAACTGTATGAGTGCATTACAAACAACTTATGAAGATGCTTTGCATTATTTGTGTGTTCTCCGTTTGTCTTTTGAATATTTTTTTGTTTTGTTTGTGTGAATTTGTAGGCAATTAAAGTTATTCTTAATCAGTAGTTTGTTTAATACTAGATTTTACTGCATTTCTATAATTGTTGCTGTGTATACTGTGGATGTAATTCTCTTTTTATTTGTTTAATTATCTTTTTATTTAATTATCTTTTTATTTATTTATTTATCTTTTTCTTCACTTTAGGTGGGCAGAGATGAACAGCAAAAGCATCGACCTTGGCTAGGAGGGAGCAGTCTTCCTTTATTCCTCTTTTTTTCTCTGAGTTCTTCTAAAAGAATTTAAATTTAATTATTTTAAATAAATAAAAATAAAACTAAAACAATTCTTTTCATCGGCTAGGAAGTTTTCATAGAAGAAGAGGCCCCTGCGACGTGTTATGCTGTGCTGTGCTGGCGGTAATGTCTGTACAGCGGAGAGAGATGTAGGTAGATAAAACAAATATTATTTATTTAAAAGTATTTATTTTAACTTTCTTTCTTCGATAAAGAAGCTATTTAATACAAACGCAAAATAAACACATGCAATTACAGGGGGCCCCAACTGCCTGCCGATGCTGCTGGGGCCCCCTAGAGATATTTATGTATACTATGTTTAATTGTAAATTCAAAGCATAAAAAGGTAAATAATCAAACAATACTCTTTAATTCAGAGTCTCTGCAGAGAGAAGAAGGAGTTGTTTTATCTCACTACTCTGCTTTTTTTTTGTTTTTCTTGTTGGTGCTGCTGCCCTCCCCTATGCAGCGCGGCCTTAAGAGCCAGCACATCTCTTTCTTAAATCTCTTCAGCTGTACGTACACCTCAACAGACACCCTGTGTCCTCTTGCGTTGCACCCGCAGCAGCAGCAGCAGCAACAGCAGCAGCCGCAGCCGCAGCAGCAGCAGCAACAACAACAAGGGATGTTGCTAGCTGCTGCCTGGGGCAGCAGCTAGCTGCTACCTCTCTGCAGCTTCCTCTCCATATGCAATGAGCTAACCCTCTATGCCGAACTCGGCAGAGTAGAGAGGGGGCTTCTCTCCTGACATGCACCTGCACAGCTGCTGCTGCTGCTCCCTCCGCAGCAGCAGCAGCAGCAGCAGGAGCAGCAGGAAGAGAAGATAAGCTAAATGATGTTTGGCGGTTTGTTGACGCTGCTGCTGCAGCGGCTGCTGCGCACTGTCGGCATAGAAGCCTCCTACATATCGGTTAGCAGCAGCACGGGTTTGCTGCTGCAGGGTTTAGTATGGCGAGACCGCAGCATCTCTTCTACTTTGCTGCTGCACTCGCTGCTGATTGGGGAGCTACAAATCAAAACCTCCTGGAAGCAGCTGCTGCAGCTGCTGCTGCTGCAGCAGCAGGGAAGCATCGAGCTGCGTGTACACCGCGTCTACGCACTGATCACCACACAGACGGAAGCAGATGGGGAAGAGCTCAAGGCAAAGCAGCAGCAGCAGCAGCAGCAAAAGCAGCAGCAAAAGCAGCAGCAACAACGCTTGCTAGCACGCATTCACAAGCTCTTCTTCTCTCCGGTGCAGAGGGCCGTGCGAGACCTCCTCCTCAGCAGAGCCCTTCATTCCAGCAGCAGCAGCAGCAGCAGCAGCAGCAGCAGCAGCAAGGAAGGGGGGAATGGAGGGGCACCTCAGCAGCTGCTGCTGCAGCGGCTGCTGGCGTTGCTCAGCAGCAGAGTCTCCGTTCATGTTGAAGACCTCCACCTGCGGCTGGAGGACCCAATGGCTAGGGCTCACTGTTCTGCTGCTGCTACAAGGATTGAGACGGGGGCGAAGAGAGATGCGGATGTCAAGCCCTTCGGTGGAGCTGAGGCCTCTGCAGTGCGGCTTCATTGCTGCTTCCCTCTCCCTCACTCCTGCAGCAGCAGCAGCAGCAACAGCAGCAGCAGCAACACCACCGACAGCAGCTGCAGCACAAGAGCCAGAAGAAACTACAGCAGGAGCAGGTGCTGCTGCTGCTGCAGATGCTGCTGCTGCAGGTTGTGGGGTGGATCTGACGAAGGGCCGGCGTTTGTCAGTCTCTTTCTGTTCATCTGGACCTACAATAGCAGCAACAGCAGAAAAGGAAGCAGCAGCAACAGCAACAGGAGATGCAGCAGCAGCAGCAGCAGCAACCGAGGCTCAAGTCCCTGCGGCGCAATCAGCAGATGCTGTAGAAGCAGCAGCGGGGGCAGCAGCAGCGGCACCAGTGGATGCTGCATCTCTAGCACGAGCAGCAGCAGCAGACGCAGCAGCAACAGAAGCAGCAGCAGCAACAGAAGCAGCAGCAGCAGCAGCAGCAAGTTCATTCTGGCCGTATTGTGAATATCAGGAGGAGGTTCCTCTCGGTGGCGAAGTGTTGGAGTACTCGGATATGTGGGGTTGCATGCAGACCCAAGAAGACACAGAAGCAGCAGCAGCAGCTGCTGCTGCAGCAGCAGCAGCAGCGGCAGCAGCAGCAGCTGCAGCAGCAGCAGCAGCAGAGGACACTAAAGGCATGAAGGGCTCTAGCTGCTTAGAGGCTTTAGGACTATCTCTCTACTGGAGGAGTGCTTGGTGGCAGTTAACTTCAAGACAGCAACTCAGCCCCACCTCTTCAGCATTTGCTGCTGCTTTCCAGCAGCAGCAGCAGCAGCTGCTGCTGCTGCTGCAGCAACAGCACCACGAGAAACGCCAGCTACAGAAGCTGCAGGAACAAGGGTAAGCCCGTACAGCAGCAGCAGCAGCAGCAGTAGCAGAAGCAGCAGAGGGATAGGAGGGATAAGCCGGTGGACACAGACAGAGAGAGACAGTAAAACAAAATGCAGAGGCAGAGGAGACAGTAGAAAAGAGACAGAAATAGAGACAGAGACAGAAAGACACGCACAAACGCACATAGATAGGTAGATAAATAGATAAATATATATATATATATATATATATATATATATATATATATAGAGAGAGAGAGAGAGAGAGAGAGTATATATATATATATATATATATATATATATATATAGAGAGAGAGAGAGAGAGAGAGAGAGAGCCGCCGCAGCAGCAGCAGCAGCTGACAGGAAGAGACAGAAAAGAGCAGCAAAGCAGGATGCTGCGGTGTCTCTGCTGCTTCTTGCTGCGTCTCTTTGTCTCAGCTTCGTTTGTTATTCTCCGCGCTTCCTCCTGTCTCTAAGTTGGGCCCTTCAGTGCAGCGAAGGAGACACTTCGCGCTGCTGCAGCAGGCTGCTGCTGCACTCCGCTGCAGCAGCAAACCAACGCTCCTCCACAAGTATTGCCCCGCCGCCCCTGGAACGCACAACAGCAGCTGCAGCAGCAGCAGCAGCAAGCGCAGCAGCGGCTGCAGCAGCAGATGCGGCGTTGGCGACTCCTGAAGCTAGGATAACCAGCCGGGTGTATGAACAGCAGCAGCAGGAGCAGGCTCAGGAGGAGCAGCAACAGCAGCAGCAGCAGCACAGGTTGTCTGTGAATGTTGCTGCTGATATATACCCCGTGCTGCTGCTGCTGCAGGACCAGCACCTGCTAGACGCTGCGGCTCTGTTTTGCTGGTTGGCGGTGAACCATCGAAGACACAAGCAGCAGCAGCAGCCACAGCAGCAGCAGCAGCAGCAGCGACAGCAACAGCAACAGCAGCAACATGAGCAGCGGCAGCGAGCAGAGGCTAAGATTCACTTGCCAGTTGCAGGGCGCTCCGCTGCAGCAACGACAGCAGCAGCAGCAGCAGCAGCAGGATCAGGCACCTTGCCTCCCCGCCCCTCATGGCTGCCCCCTCCCCTCCGGTCTACAACAGCAGCTCCGCTAAGCAGCAGCAGCAGCAGCAGAAGCAGCAGCAGCAGCGGCCGCAGCGAGAGCGGGCCTGTGGGGATGAGCCCGGGGTTTGGTGCTGCTGAGGCTATATCAATGACTTCTTCTTCTGCTTTTGCTGCTGCTGCTGCTGCTGCTGCTTCTCCTTCTGTCTCTTCTTCTACTCCTGCTTTTGCTTCTCCTTCTTCTTCTTTGTCTTTACCTTCGTCGTCTGTCTCTTCTATTTGCTCTGCCGTCTTGATGCAGGTTGCTGAGGCAAACTGCAGCATAACAGCCCCACAGATTGAGGTGTACGTACACTCGGATGATAGTGCAGCAGATGTCTCCCTCTCCTTCAGAGGAAGCAGCCTCTCCCTCACAGCCTCTCAACCAGCAGCAGCAGCAGCAGAAGCAACAGCAGCAGCAGCATCTGCTGCTGCTGCTGCTGCTGGAGACGGGGGAAGGAGGGAGACAGCTGGGGTTTGTTCTGTTAAGAGGGGTTTGCTGTTGTCTCGTCTCTGTCTCTCTGTCTCTTCTCTTAGCATCGGAGGCAGCGGGGCTGGGCCCTTCGCCCTGACCTGCGGCTCCTACAAACTACCCAGCAGCAGCAGCAGCAGCAGCAGCAGAAGCAGCAGCAGAAGCAGCAGCAGAAGCAGCAGCAAGCGGGGAATAGGGTCCCCCCCAGCGGAAGCAGGAGATTGTGACAATGGAGTATATGAGGGCTGCTTCTCTCGCTGGCAGGCTGCTGCTGCTGCTGCTGCTGCAGCTGCTGCTGAGGCTTCTTCTGCTGCGTCTCGGGTGTCTCCGCAGCCAGCAGCTGCCCCCCTTTTGTCTCTTCGCGACGCCCTGCATCCAGAAGAAGAGGAGAGTCAAGGGCCTGCGGTGTATGTACACCTCAGCAGAGGAGACTGCAAAGAAAATACTCACGACCTCCACTGTCTCCTTCACCACTCAGCAGCAACACAGCCCCTCGGAACGAAGCAGCAGCAGCAGCAACAGCAGCAGCAGCAGCAGCAGATGCAGCAGCAGTCCCAGCAGCAGCAGCAGCAGCAACACTGGGGAGACAGTGGTAGGCTCTGGTGTCTCCGCCTAGCCCCTGTAGGGGTCTCCGGCAGTGTCTCCTTTCTTTCAGCTGCTGCAGCGCGGCTGAAGGCCTTTCACAATGCAGCAGCGCAGCTGGGGGGCCCCGGGCCCCCCTTGCTTTTCTACACTGGCAGCGCAGACTTTCTAGAGGGGGAAGAAGACATGCTGCAGCAGCAGCAGCAGCAGCAGAAGCAGCAGCAGCAGATCCAGCAGCAAACGCGGGTCTCTGCTGCCTTTGAAGGGCTGAAGATTCAGATTTTTGCTGCTCAGCCCAGAGAGGGGGGGCAGCAGCCCTGTGCTGCTGCTGCTGGTGCTGCTATAGGGACTATCGCAAGCAGCAGCAGCAGCAGCAGCAGCAGCAGCAGACGCCTCTGGGGCAGACTGAGGGGGGCCCCTTTGGGGGGCCCCCTGGCGTTGTCTGGAGGGGCCCTGTGCCTCGAAGTCGGCCCCAGCGAAATGCGGTTTGCACCTTTGTTGCAGCACCCCCAGCTCTGCTGCTGCTGCTGTTGCTGCTGCACAGCTGACAACAGCAGCAGCAACAGCAGCAACAGCAGCAGCAGCAGCAGCAACAGCAGCAGCAACAGCAGCAGCAGCAGCAGCAGCAACCCCACAACCTGCTGCTGCAGCCGGGCAGTGAAAGGTTGTGGGGACCCCTCTTTGTCTCTTTCTTTGACAGGCCTTTGTCTCTCCACTTGCCCCCTCCCCAGTGAAAGCCCCAATTGCAGCAGCAGCAGCAGCAGCAGCAGCAGCAGCAGCAGCAGCTGCAGCAGAGCTGCTACCCAAGTTGGGGCTTGGTTCCCTGTTCTGCTGCCCGTGTCCTGCTCCTCTGTAGTGTCAATGGTGCGGAAGGCTTCAGCAGAAGATGGCACCGCAGCAGCAGCAACAGAGGGCGCAGCAGCAGCAGCAGCAGCAGCAGCAGCAGCAAAACCTCCACGGGCCTCAGAGACACAGCAGGAGCGACATAGAGTCTCTGTCTCTGTTGCCGTTCATCCGCTTGCTGTCTCCTTCACTCCTTCATCTGTCTCTGCCCTCGTTGCTTTTTTTGCTGCGGCGCGAAACCTGACGCTGCAGCAGCAGCAACAGCAGCAACAGCAGCAGCAGGGAGATGGGGCGCGTAGTACTGTCTCTCCTGCTGACTTTTGCTGTGCTGCTGTCTCTCCAAGAGAGGAACAGATAGCAGCAAAATATCTTTTGGCTGCAGCAGAGAGCAAAGCAGCTCCAGGGGGACAGGAGACAGCTGCCTGCAGCAGCAGCAGCAGCAGCGGCAGCAGCAGCCGCCGCAGTAGTAGCAGCAGCGACAGCAACAGCAGCTACAGCAGCAGCAGCGAGAGCAGCAGCAGCAGCAGCAGCAGCAGCAGCAGTGAGTGCTTCTTTGATGCCTTTGATCCTCGAGAGTGGGGGTTAGACGAGGAGACAGCATTATGTTCGTCTTCTGTTGCTGCTGCAGCACACAGCAGCAACTCAGCACCTAAGAAGCCAAAGCTGCTGCTGCTGCCTTGGGGTGGTTGCTGCGAGGTGGAGGCCCGTTTGCTGCTGCGGCAGCTCTGCTGCGTCATATGCTACGTCCCCCAACAGCAGCAGCATCAACAGCAGCAGCAGCAGCAGCAGCGTACAGATGAAGCACGTATGCTGCCTCATTTGCTGCTGTCTCCTTCTTTGCTGTCTCCTTTCTCGCTGTCTCCTTTGCTGCAGCAAGCAGAACGTGTGGCTCTCTGCAGACATCTTCAGGGGCCCCCTACTTCGTTTTGCTTCTCCCTTGACCTCAGACGCCTTAACGCCAGCCTCTTGCTCACCAACCCCCAGCAGCAGCAGCAGCAGCAGCAGCAGCAGCAGGGGCAGGAGACAGCTGCGGAGACGGACTCGCTGGTTACTGCAACTGTCTCCTTTTCTTCGCTGTCGGCGTGGGAGGCAGAGGGCCCGTGCTGCAGTGAGGATGGGGGCGGGCTCAGACTTGCGGAAACATCTGCTGCTGCTGCTGCTGCTGCTGCTGCTGCTGCTGGAGACACAGCTGCCACGGGAGCAGCAGCAGCCCTTGGAAGGCGGCATGCTGCGCCTCAAGGCCAAAGCAGCTACAGCTGCTGCAGCGTCAGCAACAGCAGCAGCGGAGGTAAACCTACGTGCTGCAGCGGGAGTTGCTGGTGCTGTAGCAGCTGCAGCAGCAGCAGCAGCAGCAGCAGCAGGCGCCTGTGGGTTCAGGCTGTTCCGGTGTCTCTACGGAGGCCGCTGCTGGAGGTGGGTGTACTGCCCGATGGCTCAGTTTGCTTCGAGCCTCCTTTCTGGGGAGAAGCAGCAGCGCAGCAGCATTTCAGCAGCAGCAGCAGCTGCTGCTGCTGCTGCGCAGAAGCCCCTGCAGGTGCTGCTCAACGGGGGCCGCAGCGGAAGCCGAAGCAGCAACAGCAGCCTGCAGCTGTTGTAACTGTGGATATCAACGCTATGAGGGAAATGCAGCAGCTGCAGGAACCCTCAAAGAAAGCACAGCACCCTGCTGCTGCTGGTGCTTCTGCTGCTGGGGGCAAGAGAAGCAGCAGCAGCAGCAGGAGCAGCAACAGCGGGTGCGGGGCTGCACAGCGCATGCGAGTTGCTTCGCGAATTCATTCGGTGTATATACAGCTGGGAGACGTCTCCCTAGCACGTCTGCAGCTGCTTGCAGCCAGGCTTCAATTAGCAGCAGCAGCAGGTGCTGCTGGCGCTGCTGCTGCTGCAGGTCCTGCTGCTGCTGCTGCATTGCGCGAAGGAGTCTTACAGAAGGGAGTGAAGCAGCAGCAGGAGCCAGGGGGGCTGCAGCAGCTTGATGCGGACGTCTACATTGGCAGTGTGAGCTGCTTGCTGCTGCAGCAGCCTCCACCTTCCCCCTGCTGCAGCAGGGCGTCTGCTGCTGCTGCTGCTGCTGGGCCTCAGTGGACATCTCTTAGTTGCGCACAGCAGCCCCCGCTGCCTCTTCCTTCTGATACCTTTAGTTTGCTGCGCCCACAGGCGCCGTCTCCTCCCCCCACAATGCTGCTGCAGCAGCAGATGCTGCAGCAACAGCAGCAGCAGCAGCAGCAAATGGCGAGGCCCATCGTCGCTGCTGTAGGGGAAGGGATTGCCTTCCAGTTTGCTGCAGCCTCCGCCAGGCAACCGCCTTGTTCAGGGGAACGGCCCGCAACAGCACCCGCAGCAGCAAAGCCAGCAGCAGCAGCAAAACCAACAGCAGCAGCAGCAGCAGCAGCAGCAGCAAACTTACCGGAGGTACGACATCTTTTGTTTGGGGTTGAGTGTCTCCACGTGGAGGACTGCCTCGCCCTCGATATGACTCCTCTCCCGTCTCCTAGTTGGCTCTCGCAGCAGCAGCAGCAGCAGCAGCAGCAGCAGCAGCGGCAGCAGCACTGCGCAGGCGGCGGCAGCAGCAGACACCATACACGGGGCAGGCGGCAACGACGCGCCTCAGCAGCAGAAACAACAGCAGCAGCAGCAGCAAAAGAAATCCTTGCTCTGCCGCCCTGCCGGCCCCCCAGCCGCTTCTCTCTTCTGCTGCAGCTGCTCTCTACGGATAAGCAGCAGCAGCAGCAGCAGCAGCAGGAGCAGCAGCAGCAGCAGCAGATGGGAGGGCTGCCAGTCACGAGCCCCTCCGGGGACTGGAATACGGATGGGCAAAGCACTGCAGCAGCAACAGCAGCAACAGCAGCAGCAGGAGCAGCAGCAGCAGCAAGTCGAGAGGTGGCGTTGGGCCTCTCTGTGGAGGCCCTGAGGCTGCAGCTCTGTGCTACATTGGTTGCTCACGCAGGTAAGCAGCAGCAGCAACAACAACAATAGCAGCAGCAGCAGCAGCCAGAGCAGCAGCAGCAGCAGCAGCCGTAGTGGCAGGTGTAGATAGGCAAGGAGACAGACAAAAGTCTGCTGCGAAGAGACAGTAAAGACGTGGAGTTGTTGCTGCTGTTGCTGCTGCTTGCTGCGTCGAGGCTTGGCGTCTTCGCTTGTTCTTTGATTTCTGCTGCTGCTGCTGCTTCTGCTGCTGCTGCGCGCAGGTGCCTGGGGCTTTAAGGTGACTTCGGACGCAGCTGAAATTCGCCGGTGTCTCCTTTCGCTTGCTGCCAGCCTAAACGGAGACCCTATGGAGGTGGGGACCCGCAGCAGCAGCAGCAGCAGCAGCAACAACAACAACAAAGCGATTGCTGCTGCTCTTCCTGCTGCTGCTGCCCCGTCGAGGCAGCAGCTTTCAGGTATTCGTGAGGCCGTTGCTGAGTTTTCTGCAGCAGAAGAGGGGAAGCCCTTCAGTTTCGCTGCTGCTGCTGACGGTGCAGCTGCTGCTGCACCGAGCGCAGCAGCCCTAGCAGCAGCAGCAGGAGCAGCAGCAAGCGACACCAGCCGAGTGTCTGAGGGTGCACTGTCTTCGGATCCTTCCGCCTCCTCCTCTTCCTCTTCAATATCAGCAGCACCTGCTGCTGCTGCTGCAGAGCCTGCTGGTGCAGCTGCTGCAGCAGCAGCTGCTGCTGCTGCTGGTTCCTGTGTACGTAGGGGAGGGCTGCGTGAGCTGTCTGGGCTTCGGTTTGTGCTGCGGAGTGTCTCTGCAGCAGACTCCGCTGTCTCTGTCTCCCCTGATGGGGTCCTCTGGCTGACAATGCATCTGCCTTCTCTGTCTCTTGCCCTCAACGGCCCCCAGCAGCAGCAGCAGCAGCAGCAGCAGCAGCAGCAGCAGCAGCGGGAGCAGCAGCAGCAGCAGCAGCAGCAGCGGGACGGGGGGTTTGTTGCTGGTGTGGAGGTGCAGCAAGCTCGGTGTCTCTATCGATCTGCTGCTGTCTCTTTGAAGGCCTTGTCTCTTTCATTTGGCTGTCTCCCTTCGCCGTCTGGCTGTCTGCTGCAGCGCTGCTGCTACCCCTCCGTGCTGCTCGCCTCAGCCGGTCTCCTGCTGCTCTCTGTCCCCCTCCGCAGCAGCAGCAGCAGCAGCAGCAATGATCCAGAAGGGACGCTGAAAATACAAATGCTCCCTCTCCAGCAGCAGCACCAGCAGCAGCAGCAGCAGCAGCAGCAGCAGGAGGGAGAGGAGGGTTTGTTTGAAGGGGGGCTGCGTATATATCTCGATGCACTCCGTCTTCGTCTTGTGGGCAGCTGGGCGTGTGGCTGCTGCCTTGCACTTGCAGAGACAGCGCGCAAGCTGCAAGGCAGCTCTGCTGCTGCTGCTGCTGCTGCTGTTGCTGCTGCTGCTGCAGACAGAGACACCGCAGCAGCACCTGCTCTACTTGATAGGGGCCCTAGAAGATTCATCAGTGGCTTTAGAAGGCTGCTGAGGTCTGCGCAGCTTTGCTCTCTCCAGCTGTATGTACACCGCAGCGTGATCCTCCTTGCACCCGGAGACCTCCTCAGCAGCAGCAGCTGCTGCTGCAGCAGCAGCAGCTGCAGCAATTGCAGCCTGCGAACCTGCTCCTGCTGCGGCACCTCGGAAGGGAGGCGAGACCCCGAAGGATGGGTTGTTGCTGCTGCAGCAGCAGCAAATCTCAGCCTCCAGCTTACAGGAGACGGTTTGCTGCGCTCCGCCAGGTCCTCCCTCAAAGGCCCACGTGTATTTGTTGCAGCAACGCAGCAGCAGCAGCAGCAGCAGAAACAGCAGCAGCAGCACCGGGAGGAACGCCGTCGATGCAGGCACTCGGCAGCAGCAGCCAGCACCACCAACGGCAGCAGCAGCAGCAGCAGGAGGCTGGTGCTGTATCAAGCAGTGTGCGGGTCTGCAGGGCCTCCTTCTGCATCTGATGTGTCTCTGTTGCTGCCGGAGGGGACCCTCGGCTTTGGCTGCTGCTGGCGGCAGCAGCAGCAAATTGTCTCTCCACCCCCGCAGGCCCTAAACAGCAGCCACTCAGCAGCAGCAGCAGGGAGGACCTACCCTGCTGCTGCTGCTGCCGTTGCTGCTGGACCTAGGGATCTACGGTATTACCTTTCCTCCCAGCAGCAGCAGCAGCAACAGCAACAGCAGCAGCAGCAGCAGCAGCACGAGGGAGACAGGGAGATGTTGTTAGGAGATTTCTCTGCACCTCCTGAGTACCCAGAAGGTGAAGACGAAGATAAAGCTGCAGAGGCCTGGCAGCTGGAGTTGGTGCAGCGGCAGCAGCAGCAGCAAACAGCAGCAGCAGGAGCAGCAGCACCAGCAACCTCCACAGCAGCAGCAGTAGGAAAGCAGGGAATCGGGAGCGGGCTACCAACACAGCAGCAGCATCAGCAGCAGCAGCAGATGCATCAGCAGCAGCAGCAGATGCAGCACCAGTCTCTACAATGTTTGGTAGTGGTGCCGCAGGTGCATGTGCTGCTGCTTCCTGCTGCAGCAGCAGCACACGTACGCCGTTTGCTGCTTGACCTTTGGTTTGCTGCGAAGGCAATTAAAGAGTCTGTACAAGAGACAAGAGGATGCCTCTTCAGAAGTGCATCGACTTCTCTTTCATCATGGGCCTCCGCTTCCCTCTGTTCCTTAGACCGATCTTTCACAGAAGGGACCCTCGAAGCAGCAGCAGCAGCAGCAGTTGCTGCTGCTGCTGCTGCTGCTGCTGCTGATTCCCGTGCTGCTTCTGTTCCTGCTGCAGCGGAAGCAGCAGCTGCTGCTTCTGCTGCTGCTGCAGCAGGAATGAGAGACACACAGAGTGGCCTCTTTGGACCGTCGGTTTCATTTGAAGAGCTGCGCAGCGAGTGCAACGCAACAGCAGCAGCAGCAGCAGCAGCAGCAGCAGCAGGAGAGTTACCAGTCTCCGCAGCAGGGGAGATTAGCTTCTCTTCTAATGAAGAACCAAACGAGAGCAGCAGGGATCCATTGCTCGACGAAGAAGGGGTTTTGAGGGCCTCTCTTGTTGGAGCAGCAACAGCAAATGCGCAGCAGCAGCAGCACCAGCACCAGCAGCAGGAGCAGCAAACGAGGGGCCTCTGGCTGCCTATCCCGGGCTCTGCAGCAGCAGCAGCTGCTGCTGCTGCAGCAGCAGAGGGACTGCCCCGCACTTCTGTTACTGCACATGTGAAGGTGCATGTCTTCTCTATCTGGCTTGTGGGGCCCCTTCCGGAGGACGGCTTCAGAGCAGACGCAAGGGCCCTACCCCGCTGCAGCTGCAGCAGCAGCAGCAGCAGCAGCAGTAGTAATAGTAGCGGCAGCAGCAGGAACGTGTGGGGAGCGGCAGAGGGAAACCCGATGGCTGTGCATGGAGGGTCAGCTGCAGCGTCTGCTGCAGCAGCGGGACCGAGTGGGGATCGTCCCTGGGATCGTCTCCTCCCGGCTGAAGGCTTTGCTGTGGGGCCCCACAGCTGCGCCCCTCTGGCTCCTTCGTGGGCGTGCCCGCATACACTGCAGTGCAGCACTACTGCTGTCTCCTTCGAGTTAGATGCGAAGCTAATAACCGAAGACTTAGGATTTCCTGCTGCTGCTGCTGCTGCTGTTGCTGCTGCTGCAGCAGCAGCAGCAGCAGCAGACAACACGGAATCAGACAGCGCGTCGCCGCAGTCGGGAAAAGAGACAGAGAGACACCTGCAAGCAGATACTGCTGCAGCAACGCCAATCAGCAGCAACAGCAGCTACAGCAGCAGCTACAGCAGCAGCAGCAGCGAGAGCGACAGCGACAGCGACGGCAGCAGCGTGAGCACTGACAGCAGCAGCATCAGCAGGTACAGCGGCAGCTACAGCAGAAGTAGCAGCAGCAGCAGCCTGATCAGCAGTAGCATCAGCAGCAATGGGAGCCGCCGCCGCCGCCGTCGTCGCCACATGAGAAGCAGCAGCAGCAGCAGCAGCGTGAAGACAGCGCTGTGGCTAGAGCAGCAAGCCGAGCGTTGGCTGCCTGCCCTTCGCGTAGATGCAGAGTTGAGGCGCTGCGTCTTCCTGGGAGGGGCCCTCTGTCTTCCTCCTTCTCCTCTCACCTTACGCTCCTCCTCAGCAGCAGCAGCAGCAGCAGCAGCAACACCAGCAGCAGCAGCAGCAGCAGGGGCGGTGTTCCTGGTTTGTTTGCCTACCTCCACCTCTTTAAGGCTCTCTCGCCTCGCTAATTATTTCCCTACGCAGAGATACTGCCTCATGCGCCAGGTGCTCAACGCGCAGCAGCAGCAGCAGCAGCAGCAGCAGCAGCAGCAGCAGCA